CTATAGTAGAATTTGCTATAGATATTGCTACCAAGCGCGATAATCCCAAAAGGTTTATCACTTATAAACCCTCTCGTGTCATATGGGCATAATGTACAGCGTGTTAAAGTTTAGTTCGTTGTATAACTTTTTGAATACCACTCGATGTTTCAGGATTACCTAATACTTTCACCTGACACTCATCGCGTTACCAGCAACACCACTCCTCCTTCGGAGTCGTGGTGTTGCTGCGTAACGCGTTTCGTGCCAGGTAAAAGTATTATCCGGTAATCCTGAAACCTCTTGTGGTATTACATTCGATTATACAACGAACTAAACTTTAATACACCAAGCACGATAATCCCAAAAGGCTTATCACTTTTTAAGCCTCTTGTGTCATATGGGAATAATGTACAGTGAGTTGTATAATCGAATGTAATGCCACAAGAGGTTTCAGGATTACCGGATAATACTTTTACCTGGCACGAAACGCGTTACGCAGCAACACCACGACTCCGAAGGAGGAGTGGTGTTGCTGGTAACTCGTTGAGTGTCAGGTAAAAGTATTATCCGGTAATCCTGAAACATCGAGTGGTATTCAAAAGGTTATACAACGAACTATACTTTATTATTTTAAAATTTAAATTTTTTTCTATAATAGAATTTGCTATAAATGCCACCAAGCGCGATAATCCCAAAAGGCTTATCACTTGTTAAGCCTCTCGTGTCATATGGGAATAATGTACAGTGAGTTGTATAATCGAATGTAATACCACAAGTGGTTTCAGGATTACCAGATAATACTTTTACCAGACATGAAACGCGTTACCAACAACACCACGTCTCCTTCGAGTCCTTCGGAGTCGTGGTATTGCTGCGTAAAGCATTTCGTGACACGGTCACGCAACATCGTCTATAAACTAGTGTAGAAACCACACGATTCTGCCAGATGCCGTAATTCTTTCAAATATATGGAAAATGATTCCTCTCTAACTTGATCTCGTCGATAAAACGGTTCACTATTTCGGATGTAAGTGGAGTAAAATGCTCCGACATGTCTTATTAATGTCCCGACACCTTATTCGGCGCAAGAAAAGACCTTAGGATTTCGTAAGTGTGAGGCCCACATAAACTAAGGAAAATATTGCTAATTTTTTGATATCATCTATAATATCGTCGTCCCAAAAATAGAAAATCATACGTTCGACGTAAAACTCCCAACCCTCTGGTTCGTTTACGTTGAACTGCTTGATGTTTCCGTATGAAACCATTGTTCACACCGTGTGTCACTTACTTTAACTACTGTCCTGTTTGATCACTGGGAATAGCATCCTCATCACCAAAACGATAAGTGTGCAGCCTGGGTTGTGAATAATACAACAGCTGAACTTTAAACTACTTTACTATCACTAAATTGAGGCCCCAATTCACGATTAGCCCGTGACAATGGTTATATCAATTTACTAGCGTTTAAATCCTGGTACAGGCAATTAGGTACCTACCAATAAAAAAAAACGCGCCGGTATGTCAGCTCACCTATACTTAAATGTGTCGAGAGAGCAATTTGATATTTTTGTATTCTGCTGAAGGGCTTACGTTCAAATGCACCACCGTTTTAAAGCTTAATCGCCTTTGGTTAAACTGGGATTAGTTGCTGAAAAACCGGGTTACTGTTACTATGGGTAAGTTTGGTACCTAATGTCTGATTAAAATTACAAACTAACCTTATCGGTGAGTTTGGTAATTTACTTCGAACATCTAAAGTACAGTCGGTGCCCGCAATTTTAATCAGTCATTATGAAAGTTACCGATAATAATGTCGGTTAGTTTGGGTTAGGTCGCAATTTTTATCAACAACAAATTTTACACTCGACTTCCAGCATTATTCAATTAGGTCTCAGATATCATTGGACGAAGAGATTAGTGAGTTAAATTTAGAATGGAATCATTACCCACTTGATTAGGTCTAAACAGGACCTTTAAACCGTTGAAGATCATTTCTAGAATATCAATTAGGGGTAAACTGAAAGTCCTAGATGAAGCAGAATTCGAAAGAGACTGTTTCTATTTCCAAATCTAAAGAAGCTTTAAAGAACAAGAACAGATACCTACATACTCCTTTATCCCGGTGCCGCTGTGACTGCCGTGGATACGACTGGGCTGTGATTGGCCGGTACCCAATTGCCTGTACCAGAATTTAATCGCTTGTTATCAACTTTCTTAATGAACTCTCAGTTACGGCGTTTCATTTCCCACCTGGCCAAACAATGGCACCCTTGAGGCGAGTTCGGTTAATCTTCCGCGAGCTAAAAGATGACATTGATGACACAAGCTCACGGGATCTTTCATTTGAAGCTACATAACTAGTCACATGTGGTTGTCATCTTATTGCTCGAGGAGGATTAACCGAACTCTACCATAGAAAACTTTAAAAATAAATGTAACTAGTCCTAGGCAACAATACACTACAGCTTCGATAAACAAGAATTATAGACCAAAAGTACCACAACCTTATAATTTTTGCTTCAACTTTCAGGCCATATCTTAGTTCGTCTGTGTAGTATCATCTGGGTTTAATTCTCTGTAGAAACTTATTACAATAATTATTATCTCCTATTCATTGTATCCATTTCCATAGAAGTTCTCCTATTGAAGACACTTCATGCGAATTTTCTTTTCTTGATAACTGTTTCGTTTTTAGTCTTATATAAGTGTCTTTTCAAGATAATCTTCAGTTTCCTTTATTCACCGTTTCATTGATTTCCACACCTCTAACAAATTTATATACATATCCTAAAGTCTTTGTTTTGAAAAAGTTGTTCCTTTTGATTTTTTTCTCCACTAGTTTCAGTCCGCCGCCTTTAGATGTTTCTTCAAATTATTATTGTATTCTATGAAATTGTAGTGCTTACCCAAGTTTGCAAATGAGGATGGTTGATCAGCGACCAGTATTTATTTTATTTGGTCGTCTCTGATGGCCAAAGGATATTGCACTTTAAAGGATATAGCAACAAGCGGCCGTAAAAATAAATCACATCATGATTTTAATATTACGTTCGTCGCCTTGAGAATTATAGCGACCTTGTTGAAAAAATTAACACGAAGACGCTCAAGAATCCCATGTTTTATCATCATTATTTATTGCACTTGAACGGATCTTGTTAATTAGCATAGAAGTATCGTGACGGAACTAATGAAAATTAAAAATAACATTGTTAGAAGTGTGAAATAGCTGATCGAATTATCATAATTTTTCGTTGAAATTCTTTTAACAGAATCGTTTTTTTGAACATCTTTACTGGAAATTCCTCTTTTTCAACCTCTATGGCTCTACGAAAAGATATTACGTCTCCAATATTGGATGAGATTGCTTTCTAGCTTTTTCATCCTTAAACCTCGCTTTTTCCATCAGAGCCTCCTGCTAATCATCTATCAAGATATTCAAGTGATGGTTTTTCCGGTTCATTGATTCAATTTTTAGAAATTTCACTGTTATCTGGAGGAATTTGGATTTTGAACTGCTACTTCTGTACCAGGCCTATCCAAAACATGTTTGTCTTTTAGTTGCTTTTGGAGTTCAGCTTTCATCGGGTTGTTCGAAATTAGTAAGGTAGCAAATGATATTGAAGAAATTTATGCTCTAAAACATACGTCAGTAATAAAGCTTCATGTTCGCAAGGATCTTTGAATGTTTTCACTAAATCTTTAAGGCCATTTCTCAACTTTGCATGAAAAGTTCTAAGGCCTAACTTTGATTTCAGCATTAAGATTGAATCATTGGCTCTGGCAAATTCAGCACTATCTCTTGCTGGCCTTATATTATAGGGAAACATGTCCATATCTAGATACTCCTTTTTCAATTGTAATTCATAAAATCAAAATTCAATTTCAGAGAAGGGAATAAGGGAACATGTAATGTATTTCAGAATAGGAACTGGTAATTTAGAGGAGAGAAATTGAATTTTAGAATAGGGAAAATGAAATTTAGAGTGGGAACCTCAAATTCAGAGCAACATTGAGAAATTGTATTTCAAAGAGTGTAAATTTCATTTCAAATGATGGAATCAGAATTGCATTTCAGACGAATTTCTAACTTCCAGTTTTGCTTATTCTTCCTTTGAAGGCCTTCAAATTTTTCAGTAAGTCTTAGATATCCTTAGCAAACTTCAGCTTACTTCCGAATTTCAATTTAGCTTCTTGCAGTTCATCCTGAAGTTCTCTTTTTTGAGCTGTTATCTAAAATTTGGAAAACGTTTCCTGAACGCCTGTTGACTTGGATTTGGGTGACAATAGCTCATAACTGCATTTGGGTACAAGTACAAGTGATAAGCTTGTAGATGATTAAATGAGGCTTAAACAACATTAATGACTGGTTTATTTATCTATAGATAAACTTACTGGCAACATAACTGTGTACAAGATAAATTCACCAATCTATAATCTTATTGGTTGGCAAATATCTGGCTGACCAATAGGTTTATTATAGAGTGTATTTTTATCCCTCAGATTGCATTACCTGACGGTGAATAAACCAGGCCTAACTAAACTATACTGCTCCTTGATATTTTTTTCTTTAAAATTAAAGGGGTAGATTTTAGGTACCTAGAAGTAGTTTTTTATTAGATATTTATTTTTGGAGCAGTCTTCTAAATCGTCACCTATATTGATTGTTTGGACAAGTGTTATTTTTAATATGACAAAATAAGACTTAGTTGAACAATATTCATAACTATCCTAATCCTATATGTTTTAACACTCGATTAAATTTAAAATAAATGATTGCCCTCTATGTATCAATTTTCTCAGTACCTACCATCAAAAAGAAAATTAAGCTTACAATAGTCAATAAAATTACAAATGTTTATTTTAAAAAAAAAACACCCATTGTTAAACAATGATGTAATAATTTAATAGGCAAAACGCATGACCTAACATAAGACGGAACTTGTTAATTTCAATTAGCAATCTTTTGATGATTAAATACACATAGGTACTGACGTTAATATATTTTTGTTTTGCAGGGCCGAAACAATTCTTCTTCAGAGGCCACAACTACTTCTTCACAGGCCACGTACCCTCACTGGCCAATAGAAAAGTAGACTGGCTAGACGGCAGAAATCTCTGTAGAGAATACTGTATGGACTTGGTGTCTCTCGAAACTCAAGAAGAAAATAACATGATTTTCAGACTGATTCAACAGAGTAAGTATTTTAACGAATGGAAAACGATACAATCTTAAAAAGGTGCTAATTATTAGGTATCTAATTTTAATACAATAGGATTTGTGGGAAGGCTAATTTCACACTTTGATCGACGGCATCTCTGAGTTAGGCATTTGATGGCAACCTTGCACTAAAAACACCATCATATACTCTTGAATTGATTTGACAAGGATAAAAAAGTATTTAGTTTGGTGTGAACTGATGATGAAGGTGAAGATTGCGTGCTCATTAATTTCTTGGTAGAATCTCAAAGTCAAAGAAGCAATTACACAGCAGAGTTTCAATAGACATTAGTAACCTGATAGTGAACTCAAACAGCTACTACACAAAAATTTCTCATTCTTTCTCGTAAAAGTAAGCCAAAGAAATACCACAATTTATAGGAATGGGCAATATTGATACAATTATAAATCAATAGTTCATTCTATTATTCATTCCTAAAGCAATTTATGAAAAGTTCTCAAGAAACAAATCCGCCTTTTTAAAACAATAATAAATAAAGTGTTGCAACTGTGGCCTAGTTACGTGGGAACCTTTATCTTTGACTTCTCATAGTCATCTCCCTATAAAAAAATATAATGCCTTAATATTTCATTGCAAAATACCATTTTCGGAAAGCTCCGGGTTTCTATATACCTACATAATAATGCTCCTACTGGTTTGTCTAATTATTTATAAGGTCAACCCAATAATATAAATAAAATTTATGTAAATTAATTAAAAGTGATTCAACCAATAATTAGCGATAATCTTACCCGGATCTTAAAACTAATTAATTCTAGACGACGTTCCCTACATCTGGACCTCGGGTCGTCTCTGCGACTTCAAAGGTTGCGAAAATCGTCAAGACTTGGAACCCAAAAACGTTTACGGTTGGTTCTGGTCGGCGAACAGGGAAAAGATGGCGCCCACCAACCAAGTACCACCTAGTTTCGGTTACAACCCTTGGTCGCAAACTGGTCACAAGAAACAGAAGCAACCGGATAATGCGGAATTTGACATTAATGGTAAAATAATTTTGTATTAACTTAGGCTTAGAAGATAATATTGAAAACATGTAATTTTTTTTTAGGAACTAGTGAATCTTGTCTAGCTATTCTCAACAACGTCTACAACGACGGTATAGCGTGGCACGACGTTGCCTGCTACCACGAAAAGCCAGTGGTATGTGAAGATTCCGATGAACTGCTCAACTACGTTCGTTCGACAAATCCAGGTCTCCGTTTGTAATTTTGAAAAAAAGTATTTTTCTTTTAAGTTTATTTTTCTCTTAATGCTGCCTTTAAATAAAACTGTCCAAGGAAGATATTTTTTTGTCAGGTGATACCTATAAATTGTTAAATGTTTATATTTCACAAATTATATTTAATTTTACGATTGTAGTATTTTATATAATTGTTGTAATTTGTAAGGTCGCTCTTGTAAAAAGTACTTTATTTAATAAAACTTTTTTTTTAGGAAAATATCTGTTGGTTTTTATTTCAATAGGTAATGTGTTTATGAGAACCATTCTGTATTTGGACAATCATTAGAGAATCCCTCAAACATGTCGTTTTTGAATACCTATTTGCTTATTTCCAAAATGACATTGACCCATATTATGCCTCACAACTTAGTAAATTTCAATCCGATTTTAACGTAATTAGATTTGAATTAAGGTTAATTGAATCCTCTACAAATCAAGTTTAGTTCTAATTAGTCCATTCATCAATATTTGGGTTGGAGAAATACCAATACCAGAAACAGAAGCAGAGGGGTGTTCCCAAACTCCAGCAGTGCTAGGTGAATATCAATATTATCACTGATGTGATAATTTTTTCAATTCATTAACTCTGTTTTTTATGACTTTTAAGGCCAATCGCTTTCTTTTTTTAAAGGGGTACATAGTTGCATCCTGTCAGACAATAAACCGCCAGTATAATATTGACTAATGACTGTTTGCTATCAGTCTTAAATAATTCAGCTAATTTACTTAAAGTAACCTGGCAAGGAACAAGACAATTTGGCCACTGTAGCCATATGTCCGTATTCAGTAGACTAGAATAATATAAAGCTAGGAGTGCTAGGACAAACACATCAGTATCCGCAGAGTATATCACAGTCCTTGTATATTTCTATTTGATTCAAAAATAATATATCAAGGCAAAAATTCTTGTATCTGCTGCGGCCTGTTCGTAAAAGTATAATTCGTCTATGACTTCAACTTCTTGCTTATTACATTTATGCTTATTACGAATTGTTCGTTGACGTGCCTGCGAGTACGAGGTCCCATTCAATGTCAACGTGAAATTCAGCAAATTTTGATGCTAAATATGCCAAAAGTCTTTGTTTATTACCGGAGTTCGAGATAAATGTTTTCCAATTGGGTATAGACAAACCGTCAGAAATATTGTACTGCATATTTTGACTTTGATGGAGACCTGTTCTTCGAATTCTTTCAAAATTTTTGATACTGTTGCAGTTATCATAACGATCACACACGCTACTAAACTGCAGTTCTTTGATTTCAACTTTTCGAGTAATTTCAAATACTTATTAGTTGAATCTTTGAAATAGACACTGGTATCGCCGAATTAATGCCATCATATCAACGACAAAGATCGTATATTTTTCTCGACTGGCATTTCCTTGGCTTCTGACGGTGCTTCTTTCTGAATTACGTTGTAAAACTCACTTTTGTTCCCCTTCCGCATTGAATAATTACAAACTGATGATATGTCTATGTCAGGTTCAAACAACGAAGAGGGATCCATGGGTCCATTCAAAAGAAAATGCTTGGATTTTGGATGCCTCGCCTAAGTCTCTCGTAGTGCAAATTCCTTAAAACATCTACTTCGTCTTCGTAGTTTTTACAAATCTTCGACGTAGGTACCGCTCTTTTCTTTCTGCTTTTGGCTGGAAAATGTGAGTTTAACTGATACGATTTTATCAATATTCAAAGTTTCAAGTCCTTTTACTTGTGAGACCCCAATAATTTTTGGATTCCTTCCTAAGAAGGGTACCCATGATGCCATGTTTCGCGTTCTGGAACAACTCCTGAAGCACTACAACAATGACTTTGCTACCGCGGGGGTGTTTTGTGACTTCTCAAAGGCCTTTGACTGTGTGAGTCACAGTACTCTTCTGAAGAAGTTAGAGGTCTACGGCTTTAAGGGTGTGATCTCGAGGTGGTTCGAATCATATCTTTCACATCGCAGTCAGCGTGTTACCCTGGATAAAAAATGTTTTTCTGATCAGCCAATCGTCCGTGGGGTTTCACAGGGATCAGTCCTGGGACCAATATTATTCCTCATCTATATCAATCATCTTCTCTACTTTGATATATCGGGAGTCTTCACTGCGTTCGCGGATATTTCAGCGGTTGTGTGTCACAGGGGAAGTTCTGGTGAGCTGGTTCAGATGATTTCTGGGGACATCAGGGCCATTAAGTGTTGGTGTGATGCAAATGGACTGCTTTTTAACTTTGGTAAGACTCGGGTGCTTGGGTTCCGATGTAATGTTGACGATATTGATTGAGACGAATTCTCCATCAAATCCTCTCTAAAATACTAAATTTCGTGGACTTCAACTTGACGTTGATCTTAAATTCCAATCCCATGTCACTGCGCACTTCGCGGGAAACTTTTGCTTCTGGTTGCTACTGTATCCGAGCTGTGGTCACAAATTTGGATGCAACCATAGCAAAATCAGTGTATTTTGCATTGATACAATCCCACCTTTTCTATGGACTACCTTTTTGGCGCTGTTGTAGCCAATACCTATTTCAATCAGTGTTTAAACTCCAGAAGCGAGCAGTGCGCTTTACCGCTGGTGCCTCCTCGGTGGAACACTGCAAACCCTTATTTAAAAAATTTAACATCTTAACATTAATTGCCATGCCTTTTTATACTTGAATCGGTAAGTCTCTTACATAAACACATATCTTCGTTCCCTGTACACCAAACTGCCTTTTCCATACGACAGACGCACAATATACCGCTCCCGATTCCGCACTCTACTCTTGTGAAGAACTCAATAATTTACAACAGCGTGAAATTCTATAATCACCTTCCTGCAACTATTGGAAATATCTCAGATATTTCACGGTTTCAAAGCCATTTGAGGAGCACTCTACTTCAACATGCCTTTTATACAGTTTGATGAGTTTCTAAATGCCTCTATATAGGACTAAAGCCTTCCTGCTTCTGTTGCATGCATGTTGTATTTTGGCCTAACTGTCGTTGTATTTATCAGTCTTAAATTTGTCTGTCATTTGTTTGTTGCTTATCTTTTTTTGTACCATTTACTAACTTATTTATTTTTTGTGCACAATGTTAGTTAATGTTGTTTACTGAATCTTAATCTTAATCTTAATATTAGTAAGTACCTATGTATAAAAATGCTTTGTCAATAAGATTTTTTGTTCTTTGACAATAAAGCTTGTTTTGAATTGAATTGAATTGAATTTCTGAGTGGAGACACAGATTAATGTGGGTCCTATTTGCGGGTGGAGAGTAAAACACAGAAATATTGTGGTCAATTAAAATAAAGTTTACTTCTTGTATTAAATAACAGGCGTCGGTCATAAATAATCTTACAATAAAATTATTCAATCTCCAATAAGCATCTTATTAAATGTTAAAGAAAATTGATATAGTTCCAAGTATTTTCCTTATTTTCCCCTACAGAAATGTTTTTTATTATAGATAAGCGTAAAAGTTCCCTTGTATGCAACAAATTACCAAAATTTTAATTTACAGTTTGACTAGACTCTCGCCTTCACAATTTCTGGCTGAACATAAAAAACTCTACTTACATTTAACAATAATATATTTACTGCTGCCCACACCTAATTACCTGGAATTCTAATTGGTCGAAGGAATTTACATTACTTATGAACATTTAATAAAACTCGAATATTTTCGCGCTGCCTTGTTATTTCACGTCGTGCTTCTTTTCTCGGTTAAAGGTCGATTCACACATATCAGTGACGTGACAGTGCCGTAACCGGCACGTGATTTCACCGGCGAAGTCTAAATTATTCTCATAGGAATTTGATGGTACCTATTCCCATCTGCCCGACGCGCGACCGTGACAGTGCAAACAGTGCTGTCGCCGGCACCGTAACGTGATCGTTATATTAGTTCCTGACGATATTTTTGGATTTTCACGGCCGTACAAGTTGAGTTGGTCCGTGGTTATCCCGTTTTGTATGACCTATGACATGCTTTTTCGAATGAACTTCTTTCTTGCACAACAATAGGTTGAACGAATTTTCTGAAATCCTAAAATATTCAAAAAAATTCCTTGTATAATGTTATAAATTCCCCTTCTGTACCTTTCTTTTTCCATGCAGGATGGACCCAAAGTCTTTTTCTACCTGTTCTTCTACTAGTTTTTCCATGTCCTCGTCCAAAACCAATGCGATCTGCAAAAGTTCTTCACCTGGAAAATATTTCCATTTGGCTATGTTGACACGGCACTGATGAAACACTGACCAATATGAATAGAAATCACTGTGCGTTTACGGCCGGTGAAATTACGTGCCGGACCGGCACTGCTATGTATGAATCGACCTTAATTCGATAACTCTTTCACGGTAGGTACTGCTTCTTGTTTACTGACTTTATTTCTGCCGTAGCTCTGACTTTTTGGACACAGGTCTCTCGATTCTCGATTACTACTTGTTTCTCAATAATTTCTGGATATCGATGTTCAAATAAATTTTAATTTAAGTTTCTGTCGGTAAGTCGTTCGTGATGATGTTTTTCAATTGGACGATCATGGATATTCAGCAAATTACTCTGAACTTGTTCTGATATCGATGACAGGAATGGTAACGCAAATGAATATTTCTGAACTGTAGTATTATCCCGCATCGTTACACCGGAAAAAAGGTTATTCTTTGCGTCCTTATGTTATTAGATGGCAAAGATTGCTGTAAGCAATCTCTGAAAGGTTCGTCGAGGTTTTTAGCATGTTTTTGCGCAATATGGAAACGGTTTCCGATGTTAAAGTAATTGCTTCATCTTGAACATAATCTAGAGCAAGCTAATCAAGAAAAGCCTCCCAGTACAATTTGAAAATTGCAGAATGCATGATTTTGTGGATCCTGACATTTTATAATAATCTTTGCCTTCTTCGATAATCTTGTACCTGACAAACATACTTTAGCAATCCCCGAATCCGCCATAATTTTCCCAACAGCCTCCAGAAAATTCAAACAAATATGGATTCCACCCATTCGAGGGATAACCGACTTGTATCTTTCAGAATATTTTTTGTTCAAAGTAATTATGATTTCATAGACGGCTTCGTCTGCTCTAATAACACAAAACTCTTGTCCATTTGCTTCCGAGACTTTCATGAAGTATTGTATAGACTGCTGCACAACTTCTATATTAGTAGGTGACTGATCAACAAAAGGATCACATAACCAATGTTTGTTTTAATTGTATCAGTAGACTGGAGAAATATGTTTCATGAAATTGCGACCAAGTTATCGAAGAAAGAGTTTTATCATCATCGTCGTATTCTAGGTTGACAAGCTTCCATATTATTGACAGATCATGGTTCTTGGAAGAAGTTTGTATATTAGCTTCATTGATTTGCCTCAGAGACCTGTACTTTGCTCTATCAGCTGATGATACGGTAAGAGCTTTAAAATCATCAGCCTTCTTTACTCTCGTAATTTTCCCTTAGGAGTGCTCAGCTGATTTGTTGTAGTTGATCGTTTCTGATACATTATGTGAGTAGTACCCTGGGTTGTTTTCCCGTCTTTTGTATGCTTTTTAAGTCCAAATTGTCCATTGCATACTACATGAAAATCGTCGGTTCTAAATTATGCGGTAAAAATATGCCTTTTGCAGTCACTTCTTCATCCACACGCAAAGCTAAATCATTAATGTACCTTTGAGCATCCGAATAACTAATGCAAACTCCGAATTTATTTAATACATCTACAACATTTTCACTTCTTGTTTGCTTTATCACATGAATGGCCAATCCAACATGTTTTGGCGTTTTTATTCCGCAACTACCTATATATTGTAAAAAATGATGTCTTGACATAGATTTACCACCTTATCTTCATCACGCGTATTCAGTATAATTATTTCTTCATCTGTGAATTCTACCGCAGCGCGTCGGTGAGCAACCATAAAACAAAGTTGAACAGAGAAGGTGGAATAATTTTTTTTGGTAAATCTCTAGGTATTCCGAAATGCTGAAACTTAGGAAAAGCACATAATATACTGGATTTCAACATTTTTGCACAATGATAATGACTGAGTAATGATCTTTCAATATTTTTTGGACATTTTCCTTACTTTTATTTGTGAGCTATCTTCCTGTTCTGTATCAGTCAGATGACTAGTTGAAATAATGTAGTTAGAGAGACCTTTCTCTAGATTTATTACGATGTTCTCACCGAAATTGCTTCTTAGATTTCCCAATAACTCATAGTTTTTAAGTAGATGTGGATTGGAGATACATAGTAAGAACTTCGTTATTCAAATCAATTTTATCTTTAAATCTGGTAAAATTTGTTCAAAAATGTCATGGTTACTAATATCAGCTTTTGTCGATTTACTGGAATGTTTAGGTTTCAGTCTGAGGAAGTCTGTCATAGGTACATATATTATATATTATATTATGATACCTAAACTTGAATGATATCGATGCAAGAAGTATTTGATTAGAAGTTCATTATTTTTAGGCCAGCCATTCAAAATGTAAACCAAAACTTTTGACAAAACTGGATCACCGGCTCTGGGCTGTAGCCTGTTTAAAATAAGTTCTATTATCTGATATATTTAAATTTTTACTTAAAGTATGAACAGTTTCTGAGATCCATGCATCATCGCCTTCACTCTCTTGCACATTTAAATAAGATCGTGAAAGTAAATCCGCAATGAATAAAATATTTCCCAGGTAAGTAATTTAATGTTAACTTATCAAGTAATTTTATTCTCATCCTTTGTTGTAAGCGTGATGACGCTATGTCTCCAATTTGTTAATTCATTGAAGTCACCAGAGGTTATGATTTGTTCTGAAATTTATCAAGACAGAATCCAAAATTTGATTATGCTTCTCAGAGGAATCAGCAGCTATCATCAGGTCATCAATTTACACTTGCACACCCTTAAAATCTCCAAAATTTTTTTCATCTATGGCTTGAAAATGCTCTGGGGCCATATTGAGCCCGAAAGGCAATCGATTAAATTTATAACAACCAAAGTAAGGTTTTCAACTATATCTTCAAGAGTAGGAATAAGTAAATATTGCAGGCCTTCTAATTTCTAAATTTAAAATCGTGGATCCAAGCATAATCTTAATGAGCCATCCTTTTTCTCGATAATAACAATATTATAAACCCAGCCACAGGGCTTCTTCACTCTTGAAATTATTTTTCTATGTTCTAAACTCAATGATGTTTCCTTTAATTTGTCACAAATGCCAAAAGGTATTCTTCTGGGTGGGTTGATAACAGGTATAGCATCAATATTTACTTGAATTTCACATTATCTTAAAACTTATCAAGACCTTCAAATAATTCAGAGTTATTATTGACAAATTTATCTCAAGTACCTACCTATCAAACTTACTCAGATAATCTATATTTTCCTTGTGTGGAATAACGAGATTTAAATTTGCACAAGATTCAAGACCCAGTAAAGGATAAACAACTTCATCCAGAATTATAAAATCTCCAAAAAATTCAACATTTCTACACTGCAATTTCCGCGAAATTACTCCTATAGGCTTCACTACACTTCCACCAAATGCTTCTTAAATTATTTTTGTATCTCATAGCTGAGACTCTGAAATGCCAACTTCACAGAACATTTTACATATGAATTTTTCCCCAGATTTCAAAAATATTTATATATGACAGATGTCAACACTGTCAATTTAGTATTTTTCTGGTAAATTACTTCACGCACTAGTGCGTAAAGTGGAAATACTTCACGTACTAGTGCGTAAAGTATTTGGCCAAATCTATTTTTTTTAGACATTATTTGATTTGTAGTAGAAAAAATTGTGTATGCAATACGTGCGTAAAGCACCTTATTTCACTCATAATTATTATCTACGCCATTAGAAATTGGAGCTAATTTATTATAATTGTCAGGGTAACCCAAACTCCACTTCAGCATAGAACAAGAAAACCTATTAGATTTTCAAAATTATATTTATTTCCTAAATAAATGGTTTACATAAAGCTACAGTATGATCAAGCCCGCAAAATACATCTTGGACAAACCCTCCAATCGCAACCTAAAAAATATTCAATTAATTAATACCCAAATTCAACAATAACCATTATTCACCTTCAAAGGAAAATACTGATCTTTTTCGTGTCCCAACCCCAAACAACAATCCCTATTCCTGCCCCAAACAAATAAATCTCCAGAATTCGTCACTGCCGCTGAATAATTCAAACCGCATCTAACTTTAATCACTCTGGTATCTGGTTGAAAATCGTTTCGACCAAATAATGTTTCGGGGATTTTCAGGGGTTTTTTCGACATGTCGGCGTTGGGTCCTAGACCAAGAAGACCGTAGCCCCATGAAAAAACTTGACCAGAATCTAATGTGTGAATGGTTAGAAAATATTCTACATAGACAGAAAAACAAACTCACCATTTGCTACTAAACAAAAAGACCCTCCACTAGCTACACTTGTAATTTTACCCAATTTATTAACCATATCAATACAAGTAGGATTAGCTAGCTGTTGCTCGTTATTCGGCAACGAAATTTGTCCGTATTCGGTATTACCCCAACCAAAAGCCTCTCCTTTATCTAAAAACTCCATAAAATATACAATAATAACAATACAATCAACACACCATTCAGAGCCAAAACAAAATCAGATTTGCAAGCTAGCTGTACAATTTTTTCTCCTTGGATGTCTCCTTCAACTTTACTGAAATTTTCCGTACTTTTGAAATGTCCCAAGCCTGTTTGGCCGTCCGCGCCCCAGCCACAAGTATACACTGAACCATCTTCGGCTAGAAGTAAACTAAATTCATTTTTTATTATTTTTTTAAATATTAATTTTTTAAATTTGACCAACCTGTGATCTTGTCCACATTCAACGTCAACAATATTTTTGCCGTCAATTTTATCCAAGTGATTTATTACATTACTTTTGATATAATCCTCGTTGGGTATAATTTTCCTGCCGCATTGTCCGTAAGCGTTATTGCCCAATAGAAACACCCCTTCGTCTGTTAGAACAAGTAAATGCGCCCTACCAGCTGCTAGTTTAAGGATTTTAGTTGTTTCTGGATATCTAATAAAATATATATATATTTTTTTTTAATTGAAAAGGCTAATAATTTTTTGTTTACCTAATGGGTAACGAAATCGGCTGAGGATAAAAAATTATTTCCAAAGGGTGGTCTTTTCTAATTTCATGAAGGCCTAATTGGGAGTCTGAATTGATGCCTGTTCCGTACAATTTTACGTCTGTCGAGCTGTCTATTGCGAAAACGGTGAAACCGTAACCTGCAGCTGCGGTAACAACCTAGAAGGAATAAAATGCTCTACCAGTACTTCAATGATTTTGATCTGAGGGTCTCAGCTAAGCAATAGAAGTCTATATTTTTATCACGAAACTAATAAGTGTAATTTAAATTGAGGGTCAATTGTGCAAAGATGAATTATTATCCACTAGAACAGCAGGATCTGCTCAAAAAAAGCATCTTATCTTCAGTTGGCTCTTTCACTAATTTCTGAAATTGGCATAATTGGTTAAACAACTAAAAATTGAATTTTCTGCACCCTTAAGTAAAGGTGCGATGCCGGTTCTAGCGCAATTTCGTCCATTTTCCTATGTAAATCTCCATGAAAATCTAAGGTTCATTGTGCACTTTTTTGTACCATTTTGGGGTGGGGGTAAAATTTCCAGGAATAAGCCCCGCTGCCTTTCATGGTACAAAAAAGTGCAGAATGAAGCTTAGATTTTCTTATGGAGATATAGATGGGAAAATAGACGAAATTGCGCAAGAACCGACATTGCACCTTTACTCCCTTTTGAAAAACTTGGGAGTTCTTGCTGAAAGGATTAATAAAAAAGAGTTACACCTGGCAACTAGCGCAATCAAAGCTTTAAGCCACCGGAGCAGCTGTTCGTGCTTTGTCGATGGAGTCTTCTTAAATTTGATTGGTAGAAGATGCTCATATCCCTGGCGCGTTTCAAGGATTTTAAATTTTTCCACCTGCCTAGAAAACTCATTTAAGCTCGTGAATAATTTTTTTTTTGCAAATATACCTAAAATAGTACCTCATTTGAGATTTTATGCTTAAATTACGTATTCAAATTTTAATGAAAGAGCCCATTGAAACAAAATGATGCAGGGTACTCTCCACCTTAACAACATCAAAACAACTAAGACGTTAACCGCCAATGTATTCTAGTGTATAACCTCATGTATTCTTATTTTCTCATCTAATCCAATGTTTTCACTTCTCTTATATAAGCACGCCCTATGTAGGTACTCCATGTATTCAGTGTACAAATTTTGCTGGCGGTTTACCCCTCGATAAAAAAGACTAGAGATAGCGGTTGATTTCAAATTTTAGGGCGCGTCCAAGAAGTATGTAGAATGATCCTCTAGGCTATTTGACAGACAAAAACGTCTCAAATTCCTTCTTCTTGGCACTAGTCGATGTTCCTGAGAGATCAAAGAAACTCTTGTAAACTTCAAAAACAAAAGTTCATTGTTAGAAAGTCTTTTTCAGGTAATGACCAACGTGAATTCAGGGACACAACGGTCCCTGTTTGGGAATCGACCCACTGAGCAGTGGACTCAGACTTCCCTTGACGCGTTTCGTTCTTGTCAGGACTCATCAGAAGGACATAGGCTGAAGCTCCCTGTCCAAGCAAAATTGAACTTCGTTGGGAAGTCTGAGTCCACTGCTCAGTGGGTCGATTCCCAAACAGGGACCGTTGTGTCCCTGAATTCACGTTGGTCATTACCTCTGAAAAAGACTTTTTAACAATTTTCATTACCAACGAAAGCTCAGGCCAATCAGTGTAGTTCAACGCCGGTAGGGGTATTTGCCCTCGGAGTAGTTGTTTCTGACTGGTAAACGAAGTTCCAAAATTCCTTGGGCTATGATGACTATTGGAGATGCAATAAATGATTCCTTTGAAAAGGTCATATTTCCTAATATCCTTTAAGCATGTAGTGGGGGAGACTCGGACTCTCCAGCAAATTTCCCTCGAAATTTTCGTATGCTATATTAGTCCAAGCAATAAAGGAAGTTTACCTCAGCATAATTAGAAGTTAACATTTTTTGGGGGGGATCGGTTCATTTTCATGTGCTTAATAACATATTAAGTTTGCGACCTTGTACTTCCATAGGGTTTTCAGTTAGGGGTGGTTTTTAGGGTTAATTTGCAGTTTATGGAGAACGCTGCTCAAAAGGATGGTCCAATAGCAAAAAGTTTCAAATTAATATTGTAGCTGAAGCTTTTTGCTATAAAAAACTCAGCGACAGCACCCCTCTATCTTCTATAGTTTTTTTTCTGCAGCGTCTTGAATAGCAGCATGTTTTTGTTCAAGGTCACTGAATCAACGTTTTGCCATTTTGCGCGCATTTGTTGCTGCAGCGGCCGAATGCATAATCCGATTTCAATTTTTCAAACACCACATTATTTCTAATGAAATGCACTCTCCAATGCTTTTTTGTTCGAATTTTTTGCTTGAAAATTAAGCGAGCACGGACTTGTCTAATGTGCGAGGAAGTTGTAAATTGCATCGAAAACTGCCCCTTTCTTGCATTCACTCTAATTTCTAAACGGGGCCAAATATTTGGTGACAGTTTTCGACAATCGGCAGCCAATTTATTCCTCTCATAATGCCCCAGCGGATTTTTTTTTCGTTAATCACTTAATGACTTATTGGCCTGAAAACGTCGCGCGCGATTTTTCAAAAAGTAAAAAAAAAATTAAAATTGTCGCATAGCGCTGAAATTTGGTATGATGGCTTTATTTATTGTTCTCATGATTATACTGCAATTTTATATCATGTGAAGCAATTAAAATTGCAGTATATTCGTAAGAACAATAAATAAGGCCATCGTACCAAATTTCTGCGCTATGCGACAATTTTAATTATTTTTTACTTTTTGAAAAATCCCGCGCGACGTTTTCAGGCCAATAAGTCATTAAGTGATTAACGAAAAAAAAATCCGCTGGGGCATTATGAGAGGAATAAATGGGCTGCCAATTGTCGAAAACTGTCACCAAATATTTGGCCCCGTTTAGAAATTAGAGTGAATGCAAGAAAGGGGTAGTTTTCGATGCAATTTACAACTTCCTCGCACATTAGACAAGTCCGTGCTCGCTTAATTTTCAAGCAAAAAATTCGAACAAAAAAGCATTGGAGAGTGCATTTCATTAGAAATAATGTGGTGTTTGAAAAATTGAAATCGGATTATGCATTCGGCCGCTGCTGCAACAAATGCGCGTAAAATGGCAAAACGTTGATTCAGTGACCTTGAACAAAAACATGCTACTATTCAAGAAGCTGCAGAAAAAAAACTATAGAAGATAGAGGGGTGCTGTCGCTGAGTTTTTTATAGCAAAAAACTTCAGCTACAACATTCATTTGAAACTTTTTACTATTGAACCATCCCCTTGAGCAGCGTTCTCCATAAACCGCAAATTACCCCTAAAAACCACCCCTAACTGAAAACCCTATGGAAGTACAAGGTCGCAAACTTAATATGTTGTTTAGCATATTAAAATGAACCGATCCCCCCAAAAAAATTTCAACTTCTAATTATGTTGAGGTAACCCCTCTTTTCAGATCTCCGTTTCTTGGACTATATCTCTTCTTCCTTCACTTGGTACTGGTAAGCTGATTGAGATACTGGTAAAAATTAGAGTTCTCTCATTTCTCAATCTGAACGGGTCCCTCTCCTAGTGGGGCAAAGAAGAATCTGTTGCGATATTCTCCCTTTGAGTACAAATGAGAAGCACCCTTCAGCAGCGGTGTTTTGTGACTTGTCGAAGGCTTTCGACTGTGTCGATCATTTTGTGTTGCTCCGTAATGTTTTTTATGCACTTCAGTCCCTGTTTTAGGAGAGTAAAGTCGGTCATTTTAATCCCTGAGAACTTTATTTCCCGGGGATTGAACTTTCACTTCATTTAAAAGAAACAGGGATTAAAACGGTACTTTTAATCCCTCCAAGTATATCAAATTCTTGAACCGAAAAGCTCAATTGACTGTTTTGAGGCCTGAAGAAATACATATTCAGTTGAATTTTAGCAATATGAAGGTGAAAAATGAGGTTTTTATACCGCTCTATGTGACCTATTTTGGATATCAGAGTTTGAAACTTTTATTGCACAAAGTTGGTGAGCCTGGAATAGAATTTTTATTTTTCTTTATTTCAAATTCAGCTCCACAAGGGCCTTTCATTCCTCAACTTTCACTCTAAAATAGTCAAGAATCAGACTTTAAGTTTCTAGGAGAGCCAGGAATAGGATATTTACTTCTCTCAGTAGAACTTCAGCTCTATGAGGGGGCAAAATGAGCCTCTTGAACAGCAATAGCTCAATTGACTGTTTTCAGGCCTGAAGAAATACATATTTAGTTGAAATTCAGTAATATGTTTCTATATCGCTCTATGTGACCTGTGACCTATATGCCTCTCTCCAAATTGGACAAAAATCGGACTTTGATATTCTTATAAATCAATTTTAATTTTAGGTGAGCCTGCAATAATTTTTTTGTTTCTATATTTCAAATTCAGGTCCACAAGAGTGAAAAATGAGCCTTTTCTACTTGAACTTTTACTCCAAAATGATCAAAAGACAGAGTACACTTCTCTAGGAGAACCAGGAATGGGATTTTTACTTATCTCAGTTGAAATTCAGCTCTATGAGGGGGCAAAATGAGCCTATTTAATCGCAATAGCTCAAATGACTGTTTTGAGGCCTGAAAAAATACTTATTTAGTTGAATTTCAGTATGTAATATGAAAGTGAAAAATAAGGTTTTTCTTTTATATTGCTCTATGTGACCTGTGATCTATGCCTCCAAGGGTGAGTATTATAAAACTATTTTGACAGATAACTAAAAGTTAACTTCTGGAATAACTATGAGAAAAAACGTCTTTTTCCAGAAGTTAACTTTCAGTTATTATGTCAAAATAGTTTTATAATACCCGCCCTAAATTGGATATAAATCGGAGTTTTATACTCTTATAGCTCAATTTCAACTTTAGGTTTGCATGGAATAGAATTTTTATGTTTCTATATTTCAAATTCAGCTCCACAAGAGTAAAAAATGAGCCTTTTCTACCTGAACTTTCATTACAAAATGATCAAAAATCAGAGTTCACTTTTCTCGGAGAGCCAGGAATGGGACTTTTATTTCTCTCAGTTGAATTTCAACTCTCCGAGAGGGCAAAATGAGCTTCTTGGTCTAATTGGTCCTGTAGAACCCAATAGGCATAAAATAAACTATTTTGTCTAAGATTAAATAACTTGTAAATAGAGCAAATGTCAAACATTGTTCTCCTTTTGTCCAATGAAAGCAGCTTAAGGTAATCTAATATCTGAGAGTAGTCATGGACTATGGTTAGCAATGAGATAGATTGAACGTGTAATTACAATATCTCAAGAATTTTTTTTGCACACTCTCAAGCAATAACATAGACATTACTTATACTGGGGAGTCTATACAATTGACTCATACTCCAGTTGTGATCTCACTAACCCAATATATACTGATTTTACCGCCTGCGAAGACAACCCCCGACAATTTTCAAAAGTAAAACCTAACATTCTAGTAGCCGTTACTGCCAAATGGTCTTTATGATTATTAAAGCTCAATTCAGAATCAAACACTATACCTAAATCATTTATTTTAAGTTTCTGTCCGTTGATTGTGTAACATGGTGGTATTATATATTTTATTTTCTACTTTACTATTATAGATCCATAATACCTAGGAAACGAAATACGTTAACACACCTATAACAACCTGATCCATAACGCCCGCTTTTGCGGGCGTTATGATCTATAACGCCCGCTTATAATACCTTAAGGTGTTTTTGTTGTTGTTGTTCTATTAATTTGCACTTTACCCTAGGCAGCCACTAAATGTCTGACCGAAAATAATTTTCGGTCTAGCCAGGATTCGAACCCGGTCTACCATCAATGTTTCCCATGTAGTCCAGCGCCTTAACCTACAGGACCACCACCGTTGCCTTGCCTTATGAGATGTTTATAGATATATTAATGTATTTCGTTTCTATGTACAGATCGCAGGTACAGGTACAGGTCACAGGTACAGGTACATGTCAAAATACAAAACAATATTCTGTCACACAAGTTTAACTGATTTTGTTAATAACAAATTGATGAAAAAACATTGTGTTGAGTAGAAAATAAAGCATTGTATGCACCACGGGGATTTCAAGATTATAATGCCCTTTAGGCGAAATATATCCCTCGGGCCATAGGCCCTCGGGCTAGTTTCGCCTTCGGGCATTATAATCTACATAATCCCCTTGGTACATAAATAGCTATTTTTCTACAACTGTCAAAAAATTATGATGTTCGCACACTCATGACAGTTTGCGAAGTGGCACTTTTTTTCCCAGGTATTGATTTTTTAACGTTCCCATGACGCCGTGCGCGAAATAGCTAGTTCGCACACTGGGTGTCATGGTGACACATACCTGTCAGGAAATCAAAAATAATTAAAATTCACCTACCTTTGATTGAAAATGCAATTTTGGCTTGGAATGATTGATATTTAAATGGAGTTGTAGAAAAAATATTGTTTGCAACTCGGGCGCGAAATACTTTGGTGATCTCGACCAAAGTAGCATTTCGCGCCCTTGATACAAAAATAACTATTTTCTGTCGAAACAAATTTGAAAACATTTATCTACAATATATTCAAGTCTAATGGCCATTTGCATTGCTATAACTTAAGGAATATTTAATCCAAGTGAAGCTTTGAATGTGACTCTTGTAGAAACAAAAGTCCGACCAAAAGTCACATTTAAAGCTCCATTTAGATTAAATCAAGGATTAAATATCCCTTAAGTAATAGCTGTGCCATAAATCTAATAAATTACTCTGACACCACTGAGAAAGGTCATCAAGGTATTTTTGTAATAATCTGATCTATAGTTCATTAGCAATAATTGACAAAAGTTTGAGATTATCAGCGAACATTGAAAACTCTCAATACTTCAAGATATTTTTTAGGACATTAACAAACAGATTTAACAGTAACGGAGAACAGTGTCCTCCCTGGGGGACCCTAGAAGATACTTCAATCTGCAAGAAAATTACATGGATAATAAAATAACAAAGTTGGTTACCACAAGTTATAAAGCACTTTCCAGAAAAAATTCAAGAACCTATGACGAAACTATTCATCTAAGCTTGCATCACCATCACACAAATGATTCTTTTCTGTGTGTGTCTTACCCCAATCACTTTGATGTTAAAGTCTCTAGGATGGCTTTTCCTTTCATTTTCATTTCACAAATCAGTTATAGTATACACCGAGGTATACACCAACTAGATTTTATTATAATATTGTTGATTGAGGAAGTAGATTTTGGAAAACTTTGAAAGGTCATAACTTGTTTTCTATTATAGATAGAAAGCTGAAACTTTCACTGAATGTTATCCCAATCAAGGGATTACAATCCCTGAAAATTTCAGCTCATTTGCACTTATAGTTCCTGAGATAAAATCCTGTTAAGCAATTTGGGGTGATTTATCAATTTTTCAATTTTTCTGAGTGCCTTTTTTCCATAGATTTCGGCTTCAAATCTGAGAATAATTTGGTGTATGAAGTTTGGGGTATGTTGATTGACCATTAGGATACAAAATATCGACAAAAAAAAATTTGAAATTTCATCGTTTTAGTAACAAGGTTACTTTGAAAGGTCATAACTTTTTTAACACTTATATTAGCTTCACCTGTATGTATGTATGTTTGTATGTATGTATGTTTGTATGTATGTATGTTTGTAATTAACATTGAAAATGTTTATCACACGGGCACATAGGGATGCGTGCGAACTTTTGGACCCTTGGGAAGTGTATGAACAAGAACCTGGAACAAGCCAAGTGAGCTGGAACAAGTCTGGATAAATCTAGATAAAGCCTGGAAAAGTCTGGAAAATGTCTGGAAATCTCTGGAAACGTCTGGAAAGAGCCTGGAAATTTCTGGAAAGGGTCGGAAAAATTCTGCCAAAGGTCTCAAAAGATCTGGGGATCTTTTTCCAGAATCCGGATCAGCCTGTACAAGTCTAGATAAGTCTGTATATTGTCTGTAAAAGTCTGGAAATCTCTGGAAACGTCTGGAAAAGATTTGGAAATTTCTGGAAAGGGTCGGAAAAATTCTGGAAAAGGTCCCAATAGACCTGGGGATCATTTTCTAGAATCCGGATCAGTCTGAAAAAGTTTGGATAAAGTCTGGATAAATCTGGATGAAGTCTGGAAAACTCTGGAAAGCTCTGGATAAGTCTAGATAATGTCTGGAAAAGTCTGGAAACGTCTGGAAAAGTCTGGAAACGACTGGAAAAGTCAGGAAACGTCTGGAAAAGTCTCGAAACGTCTGGAAAAGGCCTGGAAACTTCTTGAAAGGGTCGGAAAATTTATGGAAAAGGTCCCAAAAGACCTGGGGATCATTTTCTAGAATTCGGAGCAGTCTGTACAAGTCTGGATAAGGGCTGGATAAATCTGGAAGAAATCTGTAAAACTCTGGATAAGTCTGGATATTGTCTGGAAGAGTCTGGAAATCTCTTGAAACATCTGGAAAAGGCCTGGAAACTTCTTGAAAGGGTCGGGAAAATTCTGGAAAAGGTCCCAAAAGACTTAGGGATCATTTTCCAGAATCCGGATCAGTCTGTACAAGTCTGGATAAATCTGGATGAAATCTGGAAGACTCTGGAAAGCTCTGAATAAGTCTCAATGTCTGCAAAAGTCTGGAAATCTCTGGGGCGAATTCAGGAATGACACACTCAGTGTGAGTGTGGTACCGGTGCGGTGCGACGCACTAGCCGTTGATAAAGATAAATGGTTCAAAATATAAACAAAACACAAATAAGAATTAAAGTTTTTTCTTCAAAATAAAAAAATGAACAGCAAAATAATACATCGAACTAAAAAGTGAAAAATAAATATAGTTTAAAAAAACTAAAAAACACGCTTTTATAGTAAATTGAACTAAAAAGTGAAAAATAATTTTTGATATAAACAGAAAATATTAATGAACAAAAAATATTAGAATTATTGTGAAAAAAGCGTGGGGTGCTCAATGTAGGAGAAATGTGGAACAAAGCACCACACGCTTTTTTCACAATAATTCTAATATTTTTTGTTCATTAATATTTTCTGTTTATATTAAAAATTATTTTTCACTTTTCAGTTCAATTTACTATAAAAGCGTGTTTTTTAGTTTTTTTAAACTATATTTATTTCCTATTATAGATAGAAAGCTGAAACTTTCACTGAATTTTATCCCAATCAAGGGACTACAATCCCTGGGAATTTCAGCTCATTTGCACTTACAGTTCCTGAGATAAAATCGTGTTAAGCAATTTGGGGTAATTTATCAATTTTTCTGAGTGCCTTTTTTCATAGATTTCGGCTTCAAATCTGTGAATAATTTAGAGTGTATGGAGTTTGGGGTATGTTGATTGACCATTAGGTTACAAAATCTCGACAAAAAAACTACTTCCTCAATCAACGATAATACCCACTTTGAAATAATCTCACATAAATTACCTCAAATTTTTCCCCAAAACCAAGTCTTTTGGGAAACCGTAACGTGGTAGCCTCTTTCTCAAGTAGCCCCTTGATACCTAAAGCGCCGGTTTGCGCGTTGCCCCAGCAAAACACTCTGTGAGTCTTTTTGCTCGGTTTATACTGAAAAACTTTTAAATTTTGATCGCATATAAAAAATATACCGGATGTTTTTAAGCTTACCTGGCAAGTCATCTGCTAATGCTGGATTAATGGGGTATTTTCTTTTAGGGCCGCTCACGTATCGGACACCTAAAGTTACAAGTTTTTCGTTGATTTTTCTAAAGGAGCTCATTATTTTTTAAACTTTTCAAATTTAAAAACAAATAACAACGTAACCTCACATTTTTCAGGAACTGTCATTCGGATAAGGATATTTTAGGCGTTTTCATTTGTATGTGCTACGAGCAGATACCTATGTACTGAAATTCTCTGCAAACATAATCACTCCACATTTCACAAGGGACTTTCCAAATAATCATTCTCACAGTATTTTCTATAATTTAAAGATTGAAGTACTTTTCTACATTAGCTGGGTTCGGCTTGCTCACTCCTAGTGACTCGATTCGCACCTAGTTCCAGGTTAGTGTGGCGTATTTAGGTGTCGGCTGGAGTGCGAACGGAGTCACTCGGAGTGCACAGAGCGAGCAAGCCACCGAACCAAGATATTGATAATTCAGTGGCAGTGGTTTAATATTTTTGGTTTTTTTTTATTCATAAGAAAACTTATAGTATTGTACAATCAATAACTATGATAAGAAAAATTCAAAGCTTAATTCCCAAAATAAAAACAAATACAAATAATTCACTTTACATATTTTTCCATAAACTTCTTGTGAAAGTCCGACCTTAGAGAATCGTTAATGAAAACATTATTCTTCTTCTCGGGCTCCGACTTCGCGCAATTTTTAAAAACCACATCGTCGTCCCATCGTCTTTTGACTTTATGGTCCGTTCCTTTAGGACCTCCCGCTGAATAATGTGTCAACAACGGATTCCCGCTCAAAATATTTTCCATTCTTATGCGTTCTTCTTCTTGGCGCTTCTCAATTTCTTTTTTAGTTTGCTCTGGAAACAAAGAAATTACAGAAATTGTCTAGCAGAAATATTTAAAACTCATATTACCTATTGCTCTTTCCTTTTTTATTTTATTCAATTCTGCCAAAAGGGCTTCAGTATCATCTTCCTCTTCTTCACTTGAATCTGAGTCATCTTCATGGTCAACAGGATCGTCTGCATCCAAACTTGCTGCTGAAGCCTGAAAGAACAGAGAAATTGACTCTAGAATTGTTAAGCGCTAACAGCTGTTGCAATAAATAATAAAAACTTTTCTATTATTACCTGGTCTAATTTTAGCCTCTTATTCTCTGCAGCTCTAGATGGACGTGACTTTGGAACTTCTCTTTCTTCAAGCTCTCTGCGGAAATCTCTGGAGCGGGTTTCTTCTTGGGTTCCTTGTCCATGTTCTCTAAATAAATTTTAAACATATTAAGTATTTTCATCTTCTGAACATAGTATATTTTGGATGGTCAACATAGGTGAATTCTTACCTGTACTTTAACTTAGTATGTCCTGGCAAATCCCTACTGGAATACTGCCTGGAAATGGCACTGAGATCCTTTTCGTTTCGCCCTGAGCCACCTCGGGCTGGCTCAAACGTTGGACGAGCAGCGGTCGTCATTTTAAGGAATTTCTAATACAAATATAATAAATCCTGGTTTGCACAAACTCACGTATGATTTGATACTTGGAAATTAACTCTAAAATCCTAATAAAACTGGATATTTTGGGAAAATAAAAATATAAAATAACAACCCTCAAGGTAGTCTATTAGTTTGTTATGACTTTTCACAGTTTTCACTTTTCAGAAATTATGACATTTACCATTGACACATGGAATAAGTGATTTCTTTTATCCTTTTCTGCAATTTTAGTGGCCGATAGTGAATTGGTCGGTGCACTTATTTTTTATTTGCTTAGGTCTATTCTCACAGAAATCACAAACTAGAGCGAATTTCATTGGTTCAAAATAGTCAGAAAACTGGTTATTGGCGGTTTGCACCAATCAAAAACGCTCTGACTGGTTTATGATTCCTGTGAAAACAGATCTATGATAGAATGCTTCTTATCGGATTTATTCGAATTCTGAGAGTGCAGTCCAATAGTTTGTGTTCGGGTTGAATCGAATCATGAGCGAGAAAAATTTTCCGTGTTCGGCTTCTTGAGTCCTTGTTGAGCGTGGACAGAGTAATAATTTTTGACTCCCTGCACTCGCTGTGCGCATTATGTTGGCAACGACCCTAGGGTTAGTGCAGTTATGGCGGGTTCCTCTAGCTGCACTTGTGCACTCTGAGCACATATCTTGAGAATGCAGTGTAATAATTCATGATTGGATTGAATGAGGTGGTTTGTTTGTTTGTGCCGCACTAACTTGAACTAAGCTGTAATATTTCAGATTAAGGCAAATACATCCATATAAAACGCTCACAAACGAACGCCCCGAAGCAGAAAGTGCTGCCCCGAACAACACAAACAAACAAACCTAGGGTAATGAGCAAGTTTTCCTTTGTTCGACAATGCGAGTCGAACATACAGAGATTCGGGGCAATGATTTCGACTTCCTTGTACTCGCTGTGCGGTTTTGTACCGTAAAAGACAATAAACTGCCATTACACTAAAGAGTCGGTTTCTCAATAGCGAGTCACCTCCGAGTTGCTTTTAACTCTAGGGCGAACGTGTCCAGTTGTAATGTTAACCCTGGAGTTATGCTTGACCCGGGGTTGTTTTGCTATTGAGGAATCAGCATAGGGTCTGTTTCAACATGTCAAAAACTGTTGAACGATTTGGAAACCACTCTGTTCACGAATTTTGGATTCTACCAATGGCTCCGTTCACCAGAACCAAAACGGTTGTAGACAGTTTACAAATATTAACAGAATACGTTGGGTAAACTCTTGATCCTGCTGAACGATTCAACTTTTCAATGATAGAACGTCACCCTTTGAGTGTCATTACACAAAACACAAATTGTTGAAAATTATAAACACTCTTGAATTATGCTTGCAAAAATGGCGACCGTTTGCAAAACATGTTTGGGTCATTAGCGTTCAGTACAGTGGCTAAATAAACCTTTACATACAGTGGCGACAATAGAGGTCCCGCCGCCATCTTGTTCCCAACCTCTTGTTACTTTTAAATATTAGTATATAGGATTTAAATGGACATCTATCATAAAAAATTGAAATCGACGTATTTGATGACCATTATTAGGTCCATCAAATACGTTGTTTTCCATGATTTATGATGGATGTTCACCTAAATCCCATATATTCATATTTAAAAGTAGCAAGGGGTTGGGAACAAGATGGCGGCGTTTTTAATATAAATATATGGGATTTTAGAACCAATCAAAAGTGAGACAGTAATTGTCGCCACTGTGGGTTATAGAGTCACTGTAGCGTTCAGCAGAAAATCACGTTTGTATCTGGTGAACGCGGCCAATGACATCACATTACATTTCATTAGTGAAATGTCATTGGATTCTACGTACAAAATTTGGGGTTTGCGTAGAATCGTGACGGTACATTGTACGGTTTCCGGCTGTGTTGGAACAAAGCTATTATAAAATTAGCTGAGGTAATACAGAGCTGCTTTCGGGTGCCACCTTTTGAGCGCTCCCGAGTTACTCAGAAGTACTCCAGCAACAGTTTGACCCGTTCGGTATCAAGCGTTCGAGTGAAAAATGCATGGAGAATGACAGGTCACTGACAGGTGTGAAGTGTTCCAGGAGCTTCGCACTCTGCACCCGAAAGCGGCTCTGGGTACACCAATACGCACTTTGTTCGTATTTTTAGTATTCAGTGAGATGATTCATGTTTGAATTGACTCAGATCATGAGCGAGCAAAATTTTCCGTGTTCGACTACTCGAGACTCGATTCGAACGCAAGAGAGTAGTGCAAACACTGGCGTATTCAACTATCTGTACTAGTGTGCTCTGAACTAGCATTATGACCCATGTGTAGTGTAGTGCAATAATTTGTGTGTTGGGCTGATTCAGATTGTGAGCGAGTGGAATTTTCTTTGTCTGACTACTTCAGTCAAGTTCGGACAAAGGAATAATTTTCACTTTTCTGTACTGTTGGTGTTGGCACTATCGTATCGTACTACACCTGTTCCAGCACCCTCTCAGTTCGTATTTTAAGTCAGGGATCCGGACCGGAACGATTATTCAACCGAAAACCACAACGGAACCGTTTTTTTTTTTTTTGCGGATCGGTACTGGAACGAAACCCATATTTCAGGTTTGTTTGTTTCTGTCGCACTAACTAGAACTAAGCTGTGATATTTCAGAATATGGCAGATACCTGGGCTGGAACCACAGCATCTAGAACTCTGTAACGTAGAGTTCGTGATCCCTCTATCGCTATGGCACTTGCTGTCTTCTTCTCTCTTGTCAAAATCAATAGAGAGGATTCGACAATAGAAATAGAGAATATTTCTTTATTCGTTACAGAGTCCCATGTATCAGGACACATTCATATAAAAGCTTCACAAACGAACGCCTCAGAGATCCGCTTTCCAGTAGTTGTATTCCTTTCACACCTAGGAGGAACTCCGGGGCTTCACGCGCTTATTCCTCTCGAAAAGTGCTTGTTGCATCACGCATCTGTTCCCTGCAAATCGGGGGGCGAAAGCACCGAAGCGAGTAGCTCGAGTGTTTCAAGCTCTTGAAAGGAATACAACTAATATGGGAGTGTGACGCTCGGAGCTACTCAGTGCGTTGAGCTCCTGAGCTGTACGTACGCGTCAACCTGTCACATCCGTGGGTGGCTATTTATTTATTTATTTCTTGTTATATCTCGGGATTGAACATTTTCAAAATATAGTTTTGGGCCGAGATTCTAAAATCACGATTCGACACACGACTCGACAACGATACCGGCCTTGTCGTGTCGAAAGGTATAATTCCAATGAGATTTCTAACCTAGAATCGTCGGAAAAATCGTCTCGTTGTCGAGTCGTATGTCGAATCGTGATTATAGAATCCCCGACATGATTCTCTTTCATTTTTGATAAATAAAAAAACAAACAAACAGATAATTATTTTTAAAATTTGACATATTTGACACTAAGACAGGCGTCTCACGCCATGATACTGGAACGGTACAAATCTAGTGCGTGGTGCCCCCGAGGTGCTCTAGAGCGCGCCAATGTGCATAATGAAGCAGCTCCAGGAAGTGCTGCCCCAAACAAACCTATAGAAATGTTGTAAGGCAGGCAGAACCGAAACCGATATAAATTAATCGATTCTTACCGGTATTTTTCGGTTCCGAAATTTAATAAATTAGGCTATTAGGCCGTATCATAATAAATTCAACACTCTAATTCCACTTGTCGAATCAGGGCAAAAAAAAATGTATCCTTATCCTTGCATGTTACATGCTTTTAGAAAAAGATGCGGATACACTCAGTGCGGCACTGATGACAAATGGAAATCGCCATCAGTGTTGGTAACTGCTCTTTGCAAAATTACTGGCACGGAGTTTCACGCACTAGCAATTACTGGCAAATACAAACAAAATGTCGAATTGAGGCCCTATTGTTAGGCGATGTCAAGTCAGACACAAGTCTTGACTCCTTTTATATATATTTTCAAATCAGAAGTGATGACGTCAAGCTTCAAGACATTGGCTTAAGCATGGGTCACTCTCTCTAGTTACCAGAATTTGAATTTGTGTTCATTATATTCTGAAACTTCAAAAATTGTCATTCAAATCAGCATGAGCATGCAATATAACGTGATAATTATATAATATATAAGGCGATCTATCAAACATTCCGCGTGTTGCTAAATTCACCAAAATGGTGCACCACCACGGATGCGGTGGCGGTGATTAAAATTCACCAATGCCAATGCCAAACCACAGCTTGCCAAATCCTTTTTAAATTAACAACATTGCTTGTTCTACCATTCCACCACGGTGCCTAAACCAGCTGAATTTAGCCACACGCGGTATATCAGTTAGTGATTCCAAATTCCTACGTACTAGACAAAGATAAAATGCTCATCGGTGGATTCACCGGTAAAAAAAATAATGCATTGGAAAAGTTCTAAAATGTGATGAAATATTTCAATTACTGGCATCAAGACTTTATTGGCACAATTACTGGCAAGGCGTTTTCTTACTGGCAAATGTCAGTAATTACTGGCTGTTTGGCATCCCTGATCGCCATAAAAAACAGAGCGTTGGAAAGCGAGCATTTCTGAACTCGGCTAGGATATTACACACTACTATAGGATTGCTCATTGGCCTCGATTTTTGGGATCAAGGTCATAATATGGTTTTGCACCGTTCCCGGCGTCATCAGCGGTGTCGTTAGCTGTTTGCGCCAGCGGTCGTGGTTAAGAATACACACTTATAATGAAAAATATTATTTAATTTTGATTAACATAAGGAAAAAAGGAAGATGCAATGCAAACAAGATCTAATCAAGGGTTGTTTTAGAATGTTAAAAAATGTATTAAAACCAAATATGCATGGAGCAAACATCAGTGCAATCATAACCTGTGGTGTAAATACCCTACATGCTTCCTACGTCATCACTGGTATTTTGACGTGGTGGGGGGCTGGAGAATTTTATTTATTTTTATAATAATAGTATTCATATTTATTTAAGAGTCTAATCAAATCAATGAACTTTCAAATAGCAATAAAACACTACAAGTGGCACCAGTTTGTATTTTTCAACTTTTCCGTGTGTCCTAATACGGCCACCAGACCTCATAAGAAATAATGATCATTATTAAAATTGTTGCAGATAGGCTATATAGGCAGAGAAATCCAATAAAAAAGAACCCACAAATTACAGAAACATAAATTTTTCTGTTAGATTTTTGTGAAAAACTATACCGGTATGAACCGTTAAAACCGAATACTGGTCCGAACCGAATCGAAATATTTCTCTCAGAACCGGAACCGTAAAGGAACCAATATTTATGTCATGATGCTGTGGACCGGAACCGATATTTCATTTCGGTCCGGATCCCTGTTTTGAGTGATTGTTCCAGTGCAATAATTCTTGTTGAGCATGTTTTCCTCGTTCAATAATTGCCCTAGTCATTGTCCAGAGTAATAATTTCGAGTTCGGAGTAGTGCAAAAGTGCAAGTGCGTTTTTTCATAGTTTTTCTTTTAGCTGTTTAGATATAAAAAGAAAATTGAAAAAAATTATAGAAATGGCCAATAATAGCTGCACTGAAATGGTCAATGATTGAAAAATACTGTACTCGTTCTGCACCAGTTCGAACAAAGGAATCTTTACTCCATTTATCGAACGCACTCTCTCTTGATCAGCGGATTTACGTCAAATTATGAAAAATCCAAAACAAATTTCTCTTTAAAAACCTAATTTTTTAGCTTTTAATTTAAATAATTTATAAATGTTTGATAGAATATCCGTTAGTTAAATGTGCAACGCAACGAGAGATATAATGGATTGCATGTTTGAGGCTGTCCTGGATGCTTCACAAGATCCAGACGATATCCCTCAAACTGAGGATCCTTTGTGGATTTTAGGGAAGAAATACAATGCTATTCGTGGTAAAAATTTAATAGTCATAGAATTAATACATAGTCATAGTACCAATTCAGGTTTTCCATAGATATCATGCTGTAGTACATCTCTAATTATTCTTTGTACTTTTATATGGGATTCCCACATTAGTCGCCACTCATCTCTATTTATTTATTTCTTTCCACTATTCATTTATTTAGGTATTTCCTCCTTAACCCTTTGATACTTTTTTTCCCTAATACTACTAGGCAAATCATAATTTACTTTCGGGCCAACACTGTGTATATGGTTCTGACAGGTTGTATGTTTTGGGTTCTGCAGCTCAACTTTTCCTTGTGCAGTACTAGTATTTAGTCCATGCTTTATGTTCTCTTTGTAGTAAGAATTCTTATACATGAACCTTACCACAGATTTAATATACATTTGGTCTATGGTTAGTTAGCTACTTTCTTTATAAACAAGGTCACTTGGGTATCTTTTCTTTTTGAGAAGGATGATGTCATTATCCACCTATGAACCACACTTAGTTTTGACAGTATTGTTGAGCCTGTATTACCCCAAACAGCCAACCCATAATTAACAATAGATTTAACCAAAGAGAAGTAAATTATTTTCTATGTTCTAAATGGTAACATATTTCTTAACTCATAAAACTTGTAAATTGTTTTTCTTACCTTTGCAGTTACATAATTACCATTAGGTATGTTCTTTCCAATTCAGTATATAATGTCTTTCTGACATGACTGTTATATCATAAGACGAGTTAAAAGATTTCCCCATTGACTCCAAGAAAACCAAAACCTGATCAAAATTCTGACATATGCTGTGTATCCTACGTATATTAACATGCATTATGTTAACATCCCTATCACTATCATCAAAGCAGTTTATTTGACTTAAATCCTCACAAATATATGCCTGTGTGCATTTATAATCATCTAGAATATCGTTTGGTCCCATAAAATTTGAAAATACTTTTACTTTATCATACTTATTCTTTGGCATCCTTTGATCACATGAGGACCATGAGGTCTGCTTCTGACTTGATTTTTATGGCAGTGTCTGTAGTCTTTTTGTTGTCGTATTTCTCTGGTTTTCATGAACAGTCTTCTTAGGCTCTGTGGTAGGTTTTCATTGATGAAGATTTTCTGATCCGCACCCTCTTGCCCTATTTCTGGTCTATTATAGACCATCTTCTTCCTGTATGTTTTTCTAAAAATATTTCCCCAAACTTGTTCAGCTTATAATTTTTCTTTCACAGAAACAAACGCAATAAGGCAAGACATTGTCTCAAAATTATGGATAACTTACCGAAGAGATTTTGTACCAATCGGCGGTAGCGATGGAAAAACTTCGGACAGAGGCTGGGGCTGCATGCTGAGATGCGGCCAAATGGTTCTAGCCCAAGCCATGATAAATTTACATTTGGGAAGAGACTGGTTATGGGCACCAACGACAAAAGACACTACATATTTAAATATAATCAAAAAATTTGAAGATAGCAGAAAAGCACCGTTTTCAATTCATCAAATCGCTAGCATGGGTGTATCAGAGGGTAAAGAAATCGGACAGTGGTTTGGACCCAATACTATTGCCCAAGTTTTAAAGTAAGAGTTTGTTATATAAATATGTACTTGACTTTAGATATTTTTTCAGAAAACTAGTAAAATACGATGAAGGCAATACCCTTGCAATTCATGTAGCATTGGATAATGTAGTCATTATAAACGAAATTAGTATGTTTATTTTATTTTTAATTGAGTTATTAAAACTTTTGTTTTAAGGAGACATTTGTGTAAGTCAATCAACAATAGACTATACAAAGACTGACTGGAAGCCCTTATTACTTATTGTACCATTAAGATTAGGTTTATCCGAGATTAATAGCATTTACATTGAAGGACTTAAAAAATGTTTTCACTTGAAACAAAGTTTAGGAGTAATTGGTGGAAGGCCAAATTCTGCCTTATATTTTATCGGTTACGTTGGCAATGAAGTATTGTATTTCGATCCTCACACAACGCAGAAATTTGCAATGGTAGGTAATAAGGACAGTATAGAGGAGAAAGAAGCGGATTTTAGTTACCATTGCAAGTTTGCTCATAGGATGAGCATTTTGACCATGGATCCTAGTGTTGCTGCTGTAAGTAGATTATTGATACGTTTAATTATTTGAACGACGATTTTCTAGTGCTTTTTTTGTAAAACCGAAGAAGATTTCAATGATCTTTGTCAGAATATTAAAGACGATTTGATAAAACCTGAAAGACAGCCTCTGTTTGAAATATCTTATGATAAACCTAAGGAATGGCAACCAACTACACAAGGTGATTTATTGTTTTTGAAGATTGTAATAATTTTCTAAATGTTTTTGATTTTTAGATTTAAATGCACTAGGGTTAAGTGATCAGTCAGATCAAGAAGATTTTGAAATTTTATAGCTTTAATTTTAATTAAGCTGGGTTGTAAATAATTAAAATTATTTAATAGAGCGATATTGAATAATATGTATTCTATTTATGAGTTTTTTGTATATGAGATTTCGAAAAATAAGGGCTTTTAATAAAAATTATGCTAATTGAATATGCGTTTTGATGTCACTCGAATATATAGCGACCTTAACTTTTTGGTAGAACATTTACAATTTGGTCGATTCACAAACTTCGTTGTGATATGAGCATTACAAGAATCCAAGCAAGAATTGTTCAATGCGAATTCATTTACCTTGTACATCTGGAACTTTTTATTAGAAGACATTATAGAAGTTGATCTTCAACAGAAGAAAATTCACCAATGAGACTATAACCTCTCACAGAGGAATCACTGAAAATGTTGCAGCCTCAAAGAAAAGATTCTATTGGCCCAATATCGAGAAAGACATGCAGAATTATGTCAAAGTAGGCGAGATATGCGATAAAACCAAGTATGAACGACAACCATACAAAATCAGACTTAAACCAACACCCATTGGTACGAAACCCTTTGAACATGATCAATAACCAGAAATTTCTGACCATTATTGATAGCTTTTCAAAATTTGGTCAAGCCTCTCCTGTAAATACGAAAACAACTATAGAGATAATATCACAGTTATTGAAATATTTTAGTGATCATGAAATACCTCAAAAAATCACATCAGATAATGGAACAGAGTTCGAAAATGCTATAATGACAGATCTTTGTACATTATACAAAATTGAGTTCCATTATCAAACTCCAAAAAATCCAAACTCGAATAGACCGATCGAAAGATTCCATTCAACACTACGTGAAAGTATAACGAGTTTAAAAATCCAAAATCCGAATAAGCGAGAGTATCATTGATCTAATGACAATCGCTATATTGAATTAACCCGAACTTAGCAGCAGAAGGAGGGGTACAATAGATCAACCTTGGTCGCGGTACAACTAAAACCTCCAACACACACATACACATAGGTACACACAAATAAAACAAACTAAATGTAACAAAATTTTTATTAAGTAGACATTTACACATTGAATTGTATGTACACTTATTCAGTACCTATCAAAATTTTGTTCATGGCTTCTAGAGAATTAAACTCCAAATAATTCATATCCTGGTGTTTTTTTTATCTGTGATATCATTTTGATCACTCAATCACCTGTATGTACGTGCATTGTTTATGTACAGGTGATTAAAATAATATCAAAGATAAAAAACACCCACTACATACTTTCAGTCGATTTAATATAAAATCTACAAAAGTAGTGATTTGTAAATACTCAACTAACATATTTTCTCTTAATAGAGAAGTGGGTATATAGACACCTAATAACTTTAGAATAAATACAAGAAAAAATGCATTAAATATTCACAAAAAGCATTATTATCTTGAGATACTCGTGTCATAGTTCTGTATCACTGATTCCATAAAATATCTACCCTTATAGTAAATAAACCATTCAGTCGAAAAATCACAAACTCAGCTGCACCCGCACGTCTTAACAACCATCTGCTTATACTTCTTCAGCACGACGTTGTGGTCGTCCAAAAAATACAAAACGGAAATCGGCGACAGCTTGGTGGGAGCGCAACAGGATTTCGGAAATTTCGTCGGGTTCATCAAATGCACCAGTGTTTGCACAATGGCGTGATTCGAGGCGTTCATGTGGGCGTTCAATGGAAAATTGCACTCGCCGTGACAGAAATAGGCCGCGTAGCCTTCTGGAGCGATAATCCAGTCCTATAGGAAAAAAGTTAAAATAAACAAATGCATCTTTAACTTAACTATACCTACGATAGTTTTCAATACATACCTGCCACTTTAAATCTTTGAAGCTGATATACAGGGTGTTGATTTGGCATGTACTTCTTCCTTCTGGTTCGTATCCTACAAAAACAAAAAGGCAAACTTAATTTGGCAGTCAAAAGTTTAAAGCTTCATCATCACAGTATTATAGGTAAGTATCTAGTGTAACAAAACGGCCCTAGAAATCCTTTTTTTTTTTTGCTTCGTAATACAATTAAGTAATTATTTTTTCCCAGCGAGATTAAGTCGCTAAATTTCTGACGAAACCGTGTCAAGAGCCAAGGGTTATCATTCGGATCCCGAAACAGTGTCCTGATTGTGTCCTAAAATACGACTCTCGACTCCTGGTTCCATGAACAAACCGTATGTTTTGCGACCGATAAGAATCCCAAAAGCGTCATCAAGCTGCCAATATAAATAAGCCTGTGAATCTCCTAGATTTATTCAGTTCTGTAACGAAGTTCTGGTGTTTAGTGTTGACGTCTTTCTGCTGACTCTCTTTCCGAGACCTTAAGTGATGTTTCAATTTCAAGTATTTTAATTTATCCATCATGATTGTTGTTTTCTATCCATTATTTATTTTCTCCCCTGTGTAAAAAACAAAACCATTGGGTTAGCTTCACAACTGAAATCTCTCTTCCAACATGTATCTTACCCTGAATATAACAAAGGCCGTTTTGTCATTCCCTTGTCGAGGACGCCCGTAACTTTTACCCACTAAGAATCATAACCTAGTCTTTATTTTCTGTATCTTTTATTCTTTATTTTCTCATGTAACTTGTACCATCCAGGAACGCCCTATACAGGACGCTCATTAATTTCACTCTCTATCAATCCAAAGCTCTGCGTGTCATTTTCTTTCATTTCATTTCAGTAAACATTGTTAATAACCTACTGTATATTCTTTGCTTTTCTCTCATTTCCTTATCAAGATTTACCATTTGTTCAATAAACCATTGTTAGAGTTTAGTAAGAAAAAACGGATTCTTTTATTTCCTTTGGAAACCCCCAAGCTAGCATTCCGACTAACTGCGTACAGCTCAGGTAGCAAGAACCCGCACTCGAAGAGGCAATCTAATCAGATTACTAAAAAGTAGGTATCCGTTCAAATTTACCTATATTTTCAGTGGGACTTTAAACAAAGTCCCTGGTGGCACGCTACCACAGTACAAAAAGGCCTTTACCAGTGCTAAAACAAAGTCTCCCTTACCTAACCGTCGCAACCAGGTGGCAGTGGTAACACTAGAAACTAACTTTTGTGATTTGGGGTTCATCATAAACTGTGCTAGACGAATACACGAATCAATAAATCTCAAGTTACAAAAGAGGCTATGATGCAAAAAACTCCTTATGATCATAGTTAAGATCAGCTTCAACTTGGGAAAGCAGTTTTTCCATTTTTTTACAAAATGGAATAGGAGTTATGTTTGGTTTGAGGAATATTGTCTGAGACCAGCAAAAAAAAAAACAGGAAGATGGTAGTTTAGGTGCATTTACTTATCGAGAGAGAACACAAGGTCATCATCTGTTATAGGCAATTCAAATTCAAGATTCAGTACAACCCTCCAATCAAATCTGGATTTCAGCCCTAAAGAAACAAAAAATAACAAGATTAGCTGAACAACTTCTACCAACTCTGAGGTCCTAAATCTGGTCAGTGTTCAGGACGGTCCATAAGACTAAAATCAGAAATGATAATTTCATAAATTTAAGCTCACCATTCAGCTTTGCACATCAAAAAGTTATTCAAATCCAGCCTATAAATCATCATTATGGATATCCTTATTTTTAATATGGTATTTGATGATGATAATCAGTTCTGTTCTTACCTTTACTAAAAACACTCCCAATATCCGACTTCCTGACTCGACTTTTAACTTCTCTGGTAGTTCTCGGTTTGACCGAGGTGGAAGCTTTCAAAAATGCCACCATAAATGGATGTGTAGCCTCGTCGCCTCTTACTGTCACTAGGCCAATGTCTTCTGGTCGAATTTCATGAGCTAAAAACAGAGAATTGAGCAATCCTGATAGTACAAAAGTTACGATGGACGTTTTGTTTAAAGTCCCTATGATGTCGAAAGATAGAATGCATCACTTATAATTCAGAAAACATCAATCGTATTTCAGAGTTTGTGAAATGTAGTGCAGGAAAGTCATAAGTGTTAGTAAGGAACTATCAGAAGTAATCGTAATTGTTCAGAATTTATCAAAAGGTAAGTTGAACGTACTATTTCAAACCTTTTACGTTATCCGTCATTACTTTACTAAAAATTTAAATAACTTGGGTTGTTTCAAAGGTTGTTAAATGTCAATAAACTTGTTAGACAGTAAACCAATAACTAATCGCTCTTATCGCTTGTCTTTTACCGAACGGGAAAAAGTGCGTGGTATTGTTCAAGAACTTCAAGATAACGATATCATTCAGGAATCAAATTCGCCATCTGCGAGCCCTATTTTATTGGTCAAAAAGAAAACACGTGAGATGCGTATGTGCGTTGAATGCAAAAACGGTTAAGGACGTGTTTCCGCTACCAAGAATAGATGATCATCTTGAACGTTTAGGAGGGAGCAAGCACTTTACGTCACTTGATATGGTATTAGTCTACCACCAAATACCAACGGCAGCAGAGTCTAGAGCAAAAATAGTATTCATTATGCGGATGGGTATTATGAGTATACACGAATGCCATTTGGATTCGCAAATGCTCCAGCTGTATTTCAGCGAAGTATTAACCTAGTTCTTGGATCATTAAGATTTAATACAGCACTGACCTACATGGATGACATCTTGATTCCGGCAGTTGACTTTGACGAAGGATACAGAGCTTTATCAGAAATCCTAAAAGTTTTTAGTAACTTTGGATTTACCCTGCGCATGACTAAATGTTTTTTTTTTTCGACAATCCATTGATTATTTGGAATATGAGATATCGGCAGAGGGTGTAAGACCAGGAAATAACTGCAGTAGAGAAGTTTCCAGTTCTTCCAGTTCCAGTCCATAAGGTTAGGCCGTTTTTAGGACTTTGGCTAGCCAGACAATACCTGCAATTATATGGATTGCCAACAAACTGTTCCTATACTTCGACTTCGTGAACATGTTCACTTGTATTAAAATTTGGAGAGAAGTGTTTATAATGACCATTCTGTTCTTTTATATATGCATGACAATTTTTTTTAAATGTGGGCCACAGTTGACTGTATAGTATTTTTAATACCTATTTAGAAGTACCTGTCGTTTTAGTGACTAAACGTATGTCGCTTCTTGACACACAAATAAAATTAGGTTAGGAATTTCCTATTTGTAGATGAAATTGACGTATTAGCAATCGACGTTCGTTTTTGTTGGTAATTTTTTGTTTCATCTGGTTCGTGTTTGATAAATAAGGATGGGGTTATTCTAAATGGGTATTACAAATGCTATATCTAATTCCAGATCTGAATACTATGAAGCACTTTAGTAAGAAAGATCTGATACTAAGAATAGCTACTTAGATAGTGGTTGATTACTTTAAAAATTCAATTTCTTTGGCTCTAGGATGGCACACGTAGATGCCCTAAGCAGACATCCCGTTAATGAACCAACTGACGTAGAAGGTACGTACTGATGTTCTGGCTATTAATATTACTGAGTCTGATTAGATACTATCTGCTCAATTATCGGATGATCGCTATAAATATCTGCATCAGGTCCTTTCGGACCGTACAAAAGATTGCTCGTGGAATTTTTAAGATATGTGTGCGGCGATGTGCTGGAATTCAGATCCTTAATTCTGTTCCTGAATTCAGAATCTGAATTCATAACATACGGAATTTTATAGGTATATTTTTATTATACAGCACACACAATCTGATTTTTTGAGATTATGAATTTTTTATAACGATCCGCCAGAGTGACTCTGACGAGCGTTTTGAATTCATCTGAAAAATTAAGATCATAATTTATAACGCATGTTTTTCCATATGTTTCAAATATACAGCCGGGAATTCATATTATGATTATTCCCCACAAATTGTATCTTTTCGATATTTGTGACGAAACCAATCCATAGGGTATACCTGACCGTTATACCGTTCTTTGACGTAAAACAAACAATTTTTTCTAGTGAAATGTTGATAGGGCGTATTGAGACCAAATGGCATACGAACAAATTCGTAATGACAATAATCAAATATATCTTAAGCCAGATAGATCTTATGCATATACTGATGTTTGTTTTGAATGTCTACGTTCGAAACCGGAGAACTGTGTTATCATGAGAACGATTGCTTTGTCCTTGTCAGTGTTATAGAAATATGAATATGAGCGACGAAGAAAAGAACCTTCGTTCTCATAAGAACGCTGCTTACCTATTTTGAGAGTAAGGACCCTGATAGCAAGACCCCCACAAATTGTATCTTTTCAATATTTGTGACAAATCTAGTCCATAGACACGACTCCAAGAAAAATTCAAGGAACGACTAAAAATGCGGCTCTAAGATTCACATTCACCTTAAATAAAGGGAACTATATTGTGTTAGGGTCAGGGTTCTGTGGGTTATTCTGTACCTTGAGGTTACATTGAAATACCGGCCCTTAATTCACCATTTTATTATTGATTTTCGATTGTCTTGTTCTAATCGCAATGTTAGTCATGTCGAACTTAAAGAATTTTTTGATATTTTTTTTTCATTTTGAGATATTTTAGTTATCTCAGTGTGGCGAGATCAATCGTAAGTAAAGTCCTTGTTAACAAACAATAACCTTAGATTGTGCCACACAAAAACACTATTATACTGACATTGAAACAGTTTGAGGTTTTTGTTAACTAACAAGGACTTTACCGATTGACCTAGCCGCACTTGAAAGGAAATTTCGATGCCAAGTTTTTGTCTTCCTTCTATGCCATCATTCTCTCTGTCTATTGTCATCAATGGTCGAGCTTTTGATTATTCACATATAGGCGGAATTTACTCCTTATAGATTGTGGTTTACACAAATTTTGATATTTGTGACGAATCCAATCCATACCGTTCTTCAAAGTGAAACAAACAACGTTCTCTACTTAAAATGTTGATGGGGCGTTTTTGAGACCAAATGGCATACGAACAAACTGGTAATGACAACAATCAAAGATATCTTTACCACAGATAGATCTTATGTATGAACTGAAGTTGACAGGTTTGGTATTTCAATGTTACTTTGAGATTTAGCTAAAGTATTCTTAAGTTAAACATGAAATATGAAATCCGTTCCTTTAGGTGAGTCTCAAGTTTCACATCAAAAGCCAAGAATAGTAAAAATTTGAAAATTCTTATCCATCAATAAATCTGATAGTTGGTAGATACCTACTTATTCAATTTTAGCAATAGGTACCTACCTTGACAGGTTAAGTATTTCAATGTTACTCTGAGACTTAGCTAAGGCACCCTTAAGTTAAACATGGAATATGAAATCAGTTCCTTCAGGTGAATCTTAAGATTCACATCAAAAGTCAAGAATAGTAAAAATTTGAAAATTCTTATCCATCAATAAATCTGATAGTTGGTAGATACCTACCTATTCAATTTAAGCAATACCTACTTTGACAGGTTTAATATTTAAGTGTTACTTTGAGACTTAGCTAAGGCACTCTTAAGTTAAACATGGAATATGAAATCAGTTCCTTCAGGTGAATCTTAAGATTCACATCAAAAGCCAAAAATTGTAAAAATTTGAATTTTTTTATCCATCAATAAATCTGGTAGTTGGTACCTACTTATTCAACTTAAGCAATACCCATCTTGACAGGTTTGGGTATTTCAATGTTACTTTGAGACTGTTAAGGTACCCTTAAGTTAGATACGAAAAGTAGCAAGTGTCCATTCTAAACTCACGACTCCAAGGAAGATTCAAGTAACGGCTATAAATTTGGCTAAGATTCACATCCGTCGTAAATAAAGAGAACTTTATTGTATTAGGGTCAGGGTTCTGTGGTTTATTCTGTACCCTAAAGTTACATTGAAATACCGGCCCCTAATTCACCATTTTGTAATTGATTTTCGATTGTCTTTTTCTAATGGCAATGTCGAACTGTCGAGAAGTTTCCAATTTTGATTATTAGCGGCCCTTGGAGAATGTTTTAATATATTTGTTTTTATTTTGAGATATTCTAGTTATATAGTGTGGCGATATCAATCGTTAGTTAAGTCCTTATTAACAAATAATAACATGAGATTGTGCCACACAAAAACACTTTTGTATTGACATTGAAACAGTCTAAGGTTTTTGTTAACTAACAAGGACTTAAGCAACGAATGATATAGCTGCACTTAAGAGAAAGTTTTGAAGCCCTTGAAACATATCTGCCTTGTTAGTTTTTTTCTCCCTCTCTATGCCATCATTCTCTCTGCCTATTATCATCAATGGCCGAGCTTTTGATTATTCACATATAGGCGGAATTTACTCCTCATAGATTGTGGTTTACACATTAAATTTTGATATTTGTGACGAATCAAATCCATACTGTTCTTCAAAATGAAACAAACAACGTTCTCTACCTAAAATGTTGATGGAGCGTTTCTGAGACCAAATGGAATACGAACAAACTCGTAATGACAATAATCAAAGATATCTTACCACAGATAGATTTTATGTATAAACTGAAATTTGTTCTGGATGTCTATGCTCGAAACCGAGGAACCATGTTCTCATGAAAACGATAGTTTTGTCTTTGTCGGTGTTATAGAAATATGAATATGAGCGACGAAGAAAAGATGAGAACAAAGGTTTCTCATAAGAACGCAGCTCCCAACTCCCCCATTTTGAGAATAAGGACCCTGATGGCAGGATCCCCACAAATTATTCCCTTCCAACAACGCTCAAAAGATGCTTCAAACGAGGCGAATACTGGACGTGGAGTTTTTAAGATATGTGTGAGGCAATGTCGCAATGTGTCATCCTGAATTCTGTTTCTGAATTCAGAAAGACATTCTGGTTGTGTGAGACCGGCCTTAGATTGTACAATTGATTTTCGATTCAAAAAAATTTAAAAAAACAAAAAGACTTTTTGGATGTTTTGGTACCCGAAAAAAAAATTCCACTCATGACCCCTCCCCCATGTCCGCAGCCCACGAGCCGCCGCTGTATTGTTATCATAGGATATATCGGGGGCCCGAAGTTTTGCTTGGGCCTTGGGGCTCAACTGAATCGAAAATAGGCCCTGTAGAAACGCTGTTACGGAGCTTCCCACTGACGCTAGTAAGCTTAGTATTGGTGGGATATTACTACAACGCCAAATAAATGGAGAACTGAAGCCTGTACAGTACTTCAGTTGCTCTTCCACAAACCAGGAAAAGGTCTACCACTCATACGAACTTGAGACTCTAGCTTGTTGTAACGCCCTTAGGACTACGTTGACTAAGCGTGATTTAATTCCACGAATAGGTCGATGGTGGCTTATTACACTGAAATTTAATTTCACTATCGAATATAGGGCAGGAGTAAAGATGGCTCATGTGGATGCACTTAGCAGAAATTCGCTGCCTACCGAGTTTGATGAAACAGTAGAAGGTGATGTCAATATGTCTGACTGTGATTGGGTGTTAGCAGCGCAGTTAAATGATAAACGCTCCAAGGAAATACATCAAGTTTTGTCACGTGTACCAGTTGATGAAAATGACACAAAGAATTTCTCTTAAAAAATAATAGATTTTATCGAAAAACGCCAGTCGGTTTGTGATGGATGGTCCCTAATTCATCCAGAAGAAATATACTTTTGTATTATCATGATGTAGCAAGACATTTTGCTGTGAATAAACCACTAGAGGCAGATGCAAAGTGGTAGGTACTGGTTTCCATTAATGCGGAACTATATCAAAAATTACATATCCGCCTGCATAGGTGTATGTATGATAAGACGCCTTCAGGTAAATTACCTGGGAGTCTACACAATATCGAAAAGAAAAGTGTACCAATGGACACTCTTCATTTAGACCATCTGGGGCAAATTGGTTAAGTGTATGTGTGACCCTGGAATACCAAAAATTTCATAATTAAAAACATTGTCAATAGCGAAGATGCTCTAAAGCCAAACACCTGACCACTGCTTAATATAAAACTACGCATAAATCAAAGTGAATGTTCCACCTGTTTTGAATAACCAATGCATCTAACGTCGCCATTTAAATATCATGAATAAACATGCATTCCGCTAATGGAAATAGTAAATAATTAGTATTATAATAATCGAATACCTATATCGGATTTTTAATAATAAAATTTAAAGATGATATTGGTTAGATATAGGACACTATACCTCACAGTAAAAAAGTAAAAGTAAGAAGGAATACACAATCTCTGCCATAGAAGAAATTGCACTAAACATAAAAGCCTGAAGAAGTCAGACAGAAAACGAACAAGTAGGTAGGTAACTACTTTTGAGAAAAAATAAATAGAGTAGGTAAGTACCTAGGTATCTAAAACTCATTAGTACCTACCAACAATATCAAAGGTCGCTAATAAGAAAAATATCAATAAACACTCTCGTTTAACATCCACTAAAATATATTAAGTTTGTATGTTGACTAAAAATAGCTTAAAGCGGAGATTACTCACATTTATCAGTAGAACGGACAGACATGTAGATGCCTTTATTCGATTCCGGGAAAGCCACCCAAGTAGCCAAACATTTTGTTACGTTTATACCCAACCAACCATTTGCGTCAGCGGTCGTCTCCACTTCTGACATATATTCCAATTCGCTTTCCCTGGAACAAAAAGAAGAATCATTCGTTCAGAGCCAAATTTATCCCTCCAGTAAATTAAATTTACCTACTCATTAGTTATAGAAACTTTGAATGCTTACCCTTCTTCGCTATTAATAAGTTGGTAAGCTGTAACAGTGTAATTCCTATCTTTATGTCTGGACAAAGATTGATTCTGGAATATCCTCAGCTCGGCCCCTACAATATCTTCGGCCACCGGCAGTTCAGAAACGTCGAACCATAGTCTTTTGCCTCTCTCGTGTCTCACGCTATCTACATGATGATCTAAAACAACGATAGTAAATTATAATGTTTGTAGAGTAAGTGAAGATATTCTCACTTATGCTTTCAAATGTCATAATCACATCGCTCTGATCGATTTTCTGTTGTTCTTCTCCGCTTATATTCAAATCGTCGGTTTCTCTTTTGACCCTTCTGAAACCCTCGTCGTCTTCTTCCAATAACGATTTGTAGATGTCCAATAGGAATTTCGGAGCTGACTTTTTCACTGTGGCCTTGTTGATTTTTCTTGGTCTGTTTGGTAGACCTAAAAACAGCAGATCATAAAATCATTAACGACGTTATGCAGAATTATATACATAGAATTACAATTTGTGGTTTTCATTCTCGAAACAAACAGTAGTAAAAAGTGTTACGACGTAGAGCTGCAGTATAGAACTAAACTTTATAAATGTTCAAAAGAAACTTTAAAAACTCATATCATGTACCTACTTCTTACAAGTTTGAAGACCATAATTTTATTTATGGGAAAAGTTTGTTAGTTTTCAGGGATTCATACCTATGAACTTATTTTTCCAGCGTTACACCGTGGATTGTATCGATTTGATGGGCAAATTACTATAAGGAGTTCTTCTATTCCATATATTTTCTCTGACAACCTGATTTCTCTTTTTTCCTTACTATATTGGATCAAAACTTAATGGGCAACTCCATAGACAGTGAATAAATATCTATTGTTCCCTTTCCTAAGTGAAGTTCTCATAAAAAACGACCAACTTTGAGCAGAAAATCATGAACATCCGGGTTGTGAGCCTAACAAAAGGTAGGCATTTGCAATTTTCCTAGTGGAGGTGAGAAGAAGTTAAAAAATTCGTTTACACGAGAACCTTTCGATAATAAAATGCCTCTACCAACCATTTCAAGAAACAATGCAACCCTTTCATCTGTTGTTTTTACCACAACAGACATCGTTGACGAGTGGATTCTCGCCCTCAAGAAAAATTCTAGCCCAGGTCCTGACAACATTCCAAAAATATTTTTGCAAAAATGCGTAAAATCTATTAGCTCGCTTCTTGCACACGCAATGACTAACTTGATGAGTAGCGAGAGAGTCCCTGAAAAATAGGAAGAAATCCACAATATCCCAATTCATAAAAAAGCCAAAGAACTGACAAACTTTCTAATAGAAAACAACATCCTTCCGTCTTCACAGCATGGATTTTTGCCTAAAAGATCAACTCGTGGGGTAAACCACCTTGGAATTATAGTGTACTAGCATGTGGGATTCCATTGGAATTGCGGATTCTGTAGTTCAGAAACTACAACAAAATTTTCAGCACATTTTTACAATTTTTTTATGCAACTTTGATTTGGAGCTTCAAATCAACTTTTCCAAGACTTTAGTTCATTATTCCTGAAAGTTTCAAGTCACTGTGATCATTGGAAGTATTTTGCACGTGATTTTTGCAGATTTTAATCATTTTTACATGCATTAACGTGAAAAAAAGCTTCTAAATTTGATTTGGAGCTTCAAATTACCTTTTCCACGAAGAGGAAAGTTCAATTCATAAATCCTGAAAGGTTCAAGCCACTGTAATCATTAGAAGTATTTTGCACAAGTGATTTTTGCAGATTTTATTCATTTTTGCATGCATTAACGTAAAAAAAGCTTTTGAATTTCGAATCAACTCAAATTACCTTTTCCATAGAAAAAAGCCTTTGATCCATTATTCCTGGAAGTTTCAAATCGCTGTGCTGTGATCATTAGAAGTAGGTATTTTGCAGATTTTAATAATTTTTGCTTGCATTAACTCATCAAATCAAAACTTCCTCATTTTCTATGTCAGAACGGCGCATTAATGAGCTATCTAATTGCTGTGAAGTAGGCAGCACAAAAGTTAAATTTTACGTAATCTTTTAGGGCTTCGTTAGTGCTTCAATGTGCTTCAATCCCCAAATTAGCAACCTTTGTATTTTCGGAGATATTCCCCGGTTTTTTGAAATCGCTTGCTCACTTCACACCCAGCAGAAATAAACGAAGCACCACTGTTCAGTTACAGATAAACGGTTAATACTTCGTTAATGCTTCACTGTGCTTCAATCCCCAAATTAACAACCCCTATATTTTCAGAGATATTTCGGTTTCCAGAAATCGCCTGCTTACTTTACATCCAGCAGGATTCAGAAACATGGAAAGCAGTTGTAGATAAATGGTTAGTGCTTCATGATGCACCACCTTCGCTTTTAGCAACTCTTACACATTTAAAGATATTTCGACTTTTCGTAATCGCCTGCTCTCTTTACAGAAAAGCGAAAGCTTTAAAAGTACCTACCGTAAAACGGGGTTACTTTAGAACGGCCAGGTGACTTTGTGACACATGGTAGCGGGCGCACCAAATCCTCAACAGTTCGCGCATTTCTGAACCGACAGCCTCGCGATTGCGCTCAAGGCATTCCAAAAAATGCGCGAACAAATCAGTTCATCAATTAATATTGTGAAAGACGGTATCCAGCTGTGCGTGCGGAAAATATCAACAATAGATAATTTCAATATTTTAGTTTTGCTGTAAACTTTACCTTGCCCAACTAAGACTATCTCATGTAGCCAGGATTTGAGTTTAGGTACCTAGTGTTCTTTGTAGTTTTGGCTATTTACTGATGAATTAACATTTTCATAATTCTAATCAACAAGCATGTGACGCCCTATTTAATCAAGTTTCAACAAATTTTATTTTTGAGTTACCTTTTTTTAGTTCATTTTTTAAGTTACCTTAGTTCCAAGTTAGGTATTATGTTTTTTTACTTTTATATTAGACAAATAAACCATTTAAGTTCAATGAATTTTTTGTTTATGGGGGCACTTTGTGACACATCAGTTACACGTGCTCACGACTAGGGGGGTGAATTTAAGACAAATCTAATAAAATTAGTCCAGGGACGGACTGGGTTCTGAATTAACGGCGGGCGATTTTCTACATGGGGCGCCATCACCAAGAAAAAGTTGAAGTAAGTATAGGGTCACTTGAGCCTAGGAACTTTTTCAATACCGTGGGAAAATCGGCGGATTTTGCTGGTTTTATGCTGGTTCAGCTAGTTTGTGCTAGTATTCACTGATTTTGTGCTGATTTTCACTGCTTTTCACTGGATTTATGTTGGTTTAGTTAGTGAAAACCAGAAAATCCAGCAAAAAAACAGCTTATCCGGCCTAAAACCAGTGAAAACCAGTAAAATCCACCGATTTTTCCACGGCATCGAGAAAGTTCCGAGGCTCAAGTGACCCTATACCTACTAATTGAAAGTTAGGCTCATGTTATCGACAAGAATAAATTATCGAACCGTTATTTGTTTTCCAAGAAAAAAAATCAACATTTTATTGAGGTTTTCGCTAGTTTTAGCAACATTATTTATAATTTCGTTATTGTCTAATGACATGAGTGAAATTTTTTCCACAGATATTATCATAAACACTTCCAGGTTGTTGTGATTTAGGTTACTTCGTAATTGATTTAAATATTGTTCAGCTTTTTGAGCTTCGATCACAACTAATTTGCTTGTTTATTGACATTGATAGTCGACAAATATTTGTAAGCTTTCGAAAATATTGGATAACCATGTGCGTGAAGGTTGACACGGTCCAAGTGTACGTGGATCAAGTACCCTTGGACGCTGTGCGCGCGTCACTTGGACGATACTGGGATGGTACCAACTGTTAATCCAAGTAAGTAAGCGTGCTTCCAACTTGATCCAAGTTCTCATCCAAGTACACTTCGACCAAGCACTTGGACCGTGTCAAACTGGTTCTAAGATTGAATTTGATTGATAGCCTAGTGTAACTGCAATAAATACAGTTTTTGCAAGACTTGCAAACTGTTTCACTGGGTAATCTGCTCTATAATCTTCACTAGACCGAATACACGAGGAGAGCCCAAGGCACGAGCAAGATGGTGCTTGTCGGGCGGAAGGCTCTCGGCACAAGAATAGCATGACGATTGGAATACAACCCTAACCTAATTCACAGAGCGCGGTAAAAGTCCCAGAATTTAATATAAAACTTTAATGGAAACTCGAAATTCTTATTAATATGAGAGCACTAAATTAATAAGTAATCGATATTCCGAATTTATTAAAAAATATTTTTAAACCTTAATTTGATATTATTTATATTTTATAACTAAACAATGCCGACAGGGCGCTAAATCTTAAGGGCGCGGCGGGCTCCGCCCGCCAGCCCGCCGGGCCAGTCCGTCACTGAATTAGTCCCATTTGTATCCAATTTGTGTCATATTCTCGGCCCGCTAAACGACGACTTTGGACTTGTGTAGAAATTTTTAGTTGTCACAAAGTCCCCCCATTGATCGGGGTGAGATTGTGACGACTATTTTTGTAAACCACAGCTCTACTTCTAAAAATTTTCAAAATATCTCATTGTATTTTAAAAGCCAAATGATGTAAGTTTATCATTGACCTACCACAAATTGATTTTTTCTTTTAGGGTTTAGAAAAATCAACCGAAACCATAAAATTTGTCACAAAGTAACCTCGTTTTACGGTATATCGAATGTCCAGTTGTAGGTTTTAGATAAATGGTTAGTGCTTCCTTCATGATGCACCATCTCAGCTTTCAACAATTCTTATACTCCCCCAGAGATATTTCGACTTTTTGCATGATTTCACCCCACCAGAACCGACAACCGAGAATATAAACAGCATAAACTATGGTCTGAATAGGCCACTTTCACGTGCAGGAATAAGGAATATGGCAAATTATGATGCAGATACATGGATGCAACCGAGAATCAACAATATTTTGCAAGATTTCAGTCAGATAACTGAATAAATAAATAGCAAATTTAAACAAAATCACGTGACTGAAAACGCCGTCTCATTGGCTAAAGCCGATATTCATTTGTTGCCACATTTGAAAATGTGCAATTTAAATGAGCTGAAAGATTATACCTATCCTTTATTTTATAATAACGTAGTAAAGGACGAAAATAGTTTCTAGGTAGTGAGTTGTGTAATGATTTTTTTTATTATTATAAAGCATTTATTGCAAAAATTTTAAACAAACATCAATATATCAACATGATATACCTAAAATAAGAATTACAATAATTACCTATAATAGAATTTCGGCATCCTCACATTTTCCGGAAAGTGACATCACTCTCCGAGCCCGCCTTTAAGTAGCAGCTTAAAAATTCGATTTTCCAATCGTTTTATTTCCAAAAATAAGCTTTCATTTTGAAAAAAATGTATAGAGATGTTAGATATATTAACTAAATAAATTAAAAATATTTTCGAAAA